GGGGTCACCACAACATGAGAAACTGTATTAAAGGGTCGCAGCATTAGGAAGGTTGAGAACCACTGCCTTAGGATGTCCTGATCCAACATTGAGGTCATAAACCTTATTGTCAATGTGACCTCTAGAATAGATCTAACCTGTTATCCCTAGGGTAACTTGTTAGGCTTTATTAGGTTCTGCTGAAGAGGATGGTAGATCGGCTGTACTAGCAAAGATTGGTAAGGCTTACTGGGGTCTATCAGTTATAGAACAGGCTCTTCTAGAGGGGTATAAAGCACCATTAAGTCCTTTTGAGCTTCACGCATTTGCTAGTAGTACTCTGTCGAATAATTTTGTTATAATTATTTGGGTTTAGGACTAAGCATAGTAGAGTATTAGCTATTAAGTAAATAGGAATAACAAAGCCACTTTCACAATTTATTTGTTTTAGCTGTAGCTTTTTACAGCCTAATTAAAACTTAATTATGAAAATATCTTTAACACAGTTTATGCAAAAAATCTTAGTTTATCATAATGCCTGTGGTGGCTGGTACAAAATATACCAATCCTATTAACTTTGTTAATTGGCTTAGTTTTTATCACTGCTATTTCTGGTGGGGATGTGGTTAAGCAAGGCATTATGAGCTGTTAGTGTGCTTGATGTCTGCTCCTTTTAATCATTGGTCAGCTAGAGGCCATTGCCACTAGGATGCAGATATTTCAAGTGTAATTTTATTCAAAATGAATGGAAGGGCTGGACCAAACCTGCTTATGGAATTAGTACTCATCTAGGCATTTCAGTGTCTTGCTTTATCTATGAAGCTACATTAACATAAAGACAAGGGACTCCCTGTCCATTGAAATGTTGTGAATTTAAGTTGCATGCTAGCATTAGTGGAAGTATTTTCAAATACTGAGGAAGTAAGTTTTTCTAGTCCATCGATTTTAGTTAGAATTTTGGCGTTTGAAATTTTTATTTAGTTACGGATCTTGGCTAAAGTATGTCTTAGTTTAATTTGCGATTTAGATATTATAGAATGGGGTAAGTACACTTTTATGTACTGTTATCTTTTATGTACTGCTATATTTTAATTTTGTTTGGGGGGGGTGTTGCCAAGGTTGTTAATAAATATATACCGTTTAAGGTCTACAGGGGGTAAGGGAGTTTTTCTAAGTTAATTTTTATTTCTAAACACATTTGTACGGGCACAGTAGTTCCCCTTTGTGGTTTTGCTTTCCATGATTTGTTACTTGTGGTCCGAAAATATTAAATGGAAAATTCCAGAAATAAATGTTTCACATTGTGTCATTCTGAATAGCATGAAAAAAAACCTTGCACTGTCCCACTACATCTCATCCCACCCCTTTGTTCAGTACATCCATCCTATATAAACTTCTCACCTGTTATCACAGTAGCCATCTCAACTACCAGATCATTGTTGTAGCACCACAGTGCTTTGCTTAACATTTTATTTAATAAGGGCCCCAAAGCATTCATATAATTTTTTACAGTATATTGTTATAATTGTTCTAGTTCATTATTGTTGTTAACCTCTTATAGTGCCTAATTTATACATTAAATTTTATTATAGTAAGTATGGGTAGGAAAAAACATAGTATATGTAGGATTCAATACTATCTGCGATTTCAGGTGCCCACTGGGAGTCTTGACCATATCCCCCACAGGTAAGGGGGGACTACTATACATGTAAAATTCTCTTATGTCCTGTAAGCATAGACTAAATACCACTTTTGGTTAATGTTGATAAATGATGTTCAATATAAGCCCAACTACAAGTGGTTTGACTGTGTTAAGGTCTTGGATGATGAGTCTCAGCATCTCCCCCAAATTAATTAACTCACTATGTGTGAACACGGGCTGATTAGTCCCTCAAGATGTCGTATTTAAGAGGAAACAGTGATGATGTTAGGTGAGATGGTCCTGAAATAACCAAATGCCAGATATAGTTTTGTAAAAAAAACCAATGTTCTGGACCTAGAGTGCAAAGAGGCCCATTTGTAGATGCATTGCTGGTTTCCCAAAACTTGGTGATTAAGGAAAGTTGTTGGTTGTGATAAGCATAGTGACTAGAGTTGATTTGACTTAATAGGGTATATACAATTGGTACTATTATGCTCTCCGAAAGGGGGTCAAATATATGATGAAAGGAGACTAAACTTTGGGTGATGAGCACACAATGCAATATACAGGTGATATATTGTATACTTGAAACTTCTATAATCTTATTAAACAATGTCACCCAATAAATTTTAAAAATATTGACCTGTAGAATTGTGAGCAAATAAATTAAAAAATAAAAAATTGTTTTAACCCACAAAAAATGTCCCATGTAATATCAATTATATCTGTTGGTTTATGACTAGCCATGTGGTAGAAAATTTTATATACAATAAACCATTCTATGTATTATATAATATTCAGTTTAATGCACTTATAGGCATGGGGTAAAGTTATACAGTTATATGTAGTAAGTGTCATGTACGATCACGCATGTAGGTACTAATACATTGTAATGGGGTAGGTAATTTAATGCATGAAGTACATAGCAATGGGTTTAGAATTTGTTTCTAATGCTGACATAGCATGTGATCATGTTTTACTGTTCATGTGCAACTTTCATGGAATACTTTAAGTTTCCGTTTTGGTTGCTGTTGGTGGCACTGGAGCTGCTTCTTTGATGACCTAGGGAGATTTTTCACCTTTTCTGGTTTTGTAAGACCAGAGTAATAAATAAACTATATTTTTCATTTTAGAAGATTATTTTCAATTAAGCTTGTGAGTGGCTTAAGTACAAGAATAAGAAGAAAATATAAGACTGATACTAGTTGGTCAATGATGATAAATGGCTCTTCGACTGGTTGTCCTCCAGTTCATGTTAATGTTAGTAGGTCTGCTACTAGTAGTTAGAATAATCACTGGATGAGGGGTCAGAATATTATGCTTTGTAGTTTTGTTGTAAGAGGTATTATAATAATTGCCAGAATTAGAATAGAGAAGATTAGAGCCAATATGCACATAATTTATTGGGGAGGGTTTGTAAGATTGCATATGCAAATAGGAAGTATCATTCTGGTTTAATGTGTGGTGGAGTATTAAGAGGATTAGCTGTATGCAATTGTCTGGATCTCCTAGAAGACTGAGAGATAACAGGACTAGTATGGAAAAATAAAAGTCTTAGAATATCCTTGATTGTACAGTAGGGGTAAAATGGAATTTTGTCTGTCAGATAAAATTCCTGATGGATTATTTGGTCCTGTTTCGTGAAGAAATAGTAGGTGAATAATTACTAGGGCTAAAATAACAAACGTGAGGATGAAGTAGAAGGTCTGAGTATAGCATTGTCAACTGAGAATCCTCCTCAGATCCATTCGACTAGACTAGTGCCAATGTAGAGAATGGCTGAGAGATTTGATAGCTGTTGCTCCTCAGAAGACCTCATGGTAGAATGCAGCCTACAAATGCTATAGCTATTATTGTGAGTAAGATGATTCCAATGTTTCATGTTTCTAGGGAGGGATACGATCCATAATATAGGCCTCGTCTTAAGTGAAAGAATAAACAAGTAAAGACTATAGGTCAGCGGTTCTCAACCTGTGGGTCGTGACCCCTTTGGCAGTCGAACGACCCTTTCACAAGGGTCGCCTAAGACCATCTTGCATATCAGATATTTACATTACGATTCATAACAGTAGCAACATTACAGTTATGAAGTAGCAACGAAAATAATTTTATGGTTGGGTCACAACATGAGGAACTGTATTTAAAGGGCCAGAAGGTTGAGAACCACTGCTATAGGTGCTCTGTTGGTATATAGGTATCAAGTAATTCATTCATAGTTCATGTCTCAGCAGGTATGGGTTATGAAGGAGAAGGTGGTTATTGTATGTGACGTATAGATATAAATCAAGCAGATTCCTAAAAGAGAGAAAGTTTCATCATAATGAAATGTTTAATGGGGCTGGTAAATCAATGAATGAGTTATTAATAATTTTAATTAGTGGGTGGGAATTACAGATGTTGGTCATTAATATGCTTATAGTTGAAATACAATTATTTTTCATGTCATCATTAGTTATGGTTAAATCCCAGGTGAGAATGATGACCTATATGTATTTATTTTAACTATGTTTGTAGTTAAGTTTTGTAGGTTTCTCTTCAAGATCTTTATAGTGGTTCAAGGTTGGCCATGAGTAGAATTGGCTGTGGTATTATAAATCTTGTTAGGTCTTTTTTAGGTTTAGTAGTTTTAAAATTTATTTGCAGGGAATGCTGGTAGTGTTTCGTTATACAACAGCTATGGCTACTGAGGACTACCCTGAGTTTTAAGTTTCTAATAACTGTCTTCAGACTATTTGATTTGGGGTTGTTGATGGAGACTACTATGGTTGTTTGATGTATTTTGAAGAATGATGAGGTGAAGATTGTATTTAAATTTAATGAATTAGGAGATTCTGGCACTTCTGGCACTTCCAGGGGTAGCTGCATTACATAGCCATGGAATTTGATTGGTGGTTGTAACTGGTTGATCATTGCTTATTGGTACCCGGTTTTATTAGAAGTTACTTATGGAAATTACACTAGCCCTAAGCCTATGCCTATTTAATGAAAAAAGAAAAAATATAATTAGGCCCTTTTGGTCAGAGATTAGTGTTGAGATTTTTGTTTGAAAATGAGAAATGGATTTTGATAATACACTTCTAATCAAATTAAGCCTAATAATGATGATGATTTCTGGCTTACTGAAAGTTTGACAATGTGCAGGCCAGTGTTTAATAGTTTTGTGTGATTAAGGTTAAGTTCAAGTACCAGAATAAAACCTGAAATAGTCATAGTAAGGGCTGTTAATTTTAAATAAGGCATAGACCTGTATGCCTATCCAAACAGTGATACAAAATTCAAATCAATTACTTCTTCCTTACGTACCTACTTTGCCTTGTCCTAACATCTATGACATGACTATTACTATCAATAGGAGTACAAAATCACATAAACTAACTGGTAAGTTATATATTACATGTTTATTAATGGTACAACTTTTATGTAAAATTTACATTTTATGAAAAAATCAAAAATATTTACAAAATTTTGTAAGATAGATTTGCATTGTTCTAATTACAACTCAAAGTAGTAAATAACAATTCTTAAAAACTCACATTTGTTAGAGTTCTGTGTTTACAAATTCTTGGTTAAAGAGACAGCTAGAAAGTTTACCACTATACATAAGCAAGAACCAGCTTGCTAAATACATTTCCCATGAAAATCTACTGGTCTTTTTTTACATTAGTGGGGTTTTAAATGAAAAACAAAATCAATATAAACTCATATGGCTTCAAAATTGTAACCTGCACCCAATACATATTTATGTATTGACCCGTTGCGGTAATTAAGAAAGTGAAGTTTTACCATTTCACTAATTTGTACACTTTAAGGTAATGTTTAATTAAAAACAAATACTGTAAGTATAATGGTGTCTGAATTTCAATAATAAAATATTAACTGCTCAATAAGAGGAGTTTGACTGCAATGCAGTTAACAGTTATGATTTCAGTAAGGGACTGCAATTGGCATTTAAGAGCACAATATGAGTTAGAATTTCTAATTTTGATCACTTCTTAGTAAAGATGAACATTTCAGTAAATTATTTTATGTATTACCTTGGTCAAATCTAAATTTAGAATTGGGCTAACACTGAATATATAAAAAAGCACACTATATATATATATATATATATATATATATATATATATATATATATAGCTAACGAGTAGATTTTCTGCTTTATTTAGTAAGACGTTACATAAATGTCTAGTAGTAGGAGTTTTATTTTCTGTAAAGCTTAACAGAACAATTAGTGGTTTTATATAAATTATCATATATAACACAATTTATTACTTCTATGCGAAATGCACGACACTGGTATTTATCCTTATAAATAAAATTTCCAATTTTAAATTATGAAACTTTGTCCAAAATATTTAATTCCTTCAATTAATTAGGATTTGCCATAAAGTTAGGTTTTTTACTATTTAATATTAGTAATTTAAGAAATGCTTAACCCAATCCATCACTTTAAAAAACATACAAATTGGTAGTTTTTCCAGCTGTTGAAATGAAAACAAATGATAGACTTCTCTAATGCCAAAACTAATCTTTTCTATAATGTGTTCCTCACAAAATGCTACAAAATTCATGCTCACAACACATTCAGTAAATAAATGTATAAATTCACAATGGTAAACAGAGTAGAAGGAAATGTTAGATTGAGAGTTAAAATCCCAGTTACCAATTTAACTTAGTTTTTCAGAATTTGTTTTAAGATTTACATACTTTTGATAGGTTATGGCCCAAAACCTGAAGGTAATTTTTCTCCCCTGTAAACGTAAGCCATTAGGTAGCTCTTTGTCTTTCTAGTGGCTATAGTGTTTCACTAAAGAAGTGAGCCAGGGTTCTTAAGTATAAATTATTTAGTTATCCCGAATTCCCTTCCCAATTCCAGCCAGTTATTTATAAAAAATTGCAATTATCTTGTAAAAATGCCTGATCACTTAAGACTATGAACAGAAGATCCAGATTGTGAGAAAAAAGTGAGGCACATTTATGAACACAAACTGGATAGGCACATTTCTGGTTTTTTGTTATTGTTTTAAAAGGCACACATTATGCGATCCATATAAAAATAAATTAAATCTACAGCATTAATTCATCAAAACAATCACAACTTCTATAAAGTTAACTGCAGAAGTAAATATCTCTGCTGTCCTTTGCAAGCTTATTTTAAAACACATTGCACTTGAGGATTAAAAAATCATAAAACACCACTTACAGTTATATGTTTAAAAAAATCAAATGATAAATTTTTTGCATACAACCCGGACTATAGTCTGATTACTTTATGGCACATAACTCAATTTGATTGAGTGTTCTAAATTAACATTATCCAAACTTAGAATTCATGTTGTTTATATCCATTCAACATCAAACTTACGAAATTTAAAACTATCTGACTAAAAAAAATTTATGGAAAGCTAAATTACTTTGTGCTTGCTCTCCTGAAATATTAGGCCTGATATTACACTATAACCCCCTTTTTCAATATAAACACTGAAGATAATTTAAAATTTAAGCGTATGAAAACTTTACTGAGAATCTGAATCAATATGCTTCCTGAATATTGCAGTTGATCATTTACAGCATTGAAAATCATTTCAGTGCTATTTCTTTCGATGACTCACTTCAAAGGTGCAATTTAATATTTACAGTCAGCTCTCATATATGTCTACATTTTAAAGACATACTACAAGTTAGAATAGTGTTTGGAAAACAGATAATGCAGAATGGCAGGTGTGTACTACTCCCTTGAGCCAACCACTTTGCTTAGGTCGTCCATCAACAATCTGCCAAGTATCGTCCTGAAAAACACAAATTCAGCTTTGTGATTATAATTTCAAATGAACTCAAACACACTTTCATTGTGGTTACAGATACAGAACCCCAGTTCCCAATTGCTGTTTACAATATATTAGAATTAGATCACAGGTGTTCAGCTATACTGACCATGAGTATTCTTTCCCAGGTGTCTCTCTACCTGGCACCTTATACCAAAGATCAAAGAAAAAACTTGCATGCCTTTAGATTAGAATACAAATGTTTCCCATGTACATGAAAAAACTTGAAATCTCCCAACTCACCAGTGGCAAACCGCTTCTTTACTAAGGAAAGCCTATAGCCAGTGCCTACAAGTTCAATATCCACTCCTGAGAGGGTACTTCCCTCGCTGAGGAATTGCACTGCAAGTGTTGTTGGTTTACTGGGTCCTTCTGAAAGATCAAATTTTGCTCTTAGAGTCCCAGAACCTACAAGGAAAGGAATAAAGAATTTACACAGGATAATATACATTTCATACCAAAAAAATCAAATGAACACTTAAGATAAACTATTATCAGTCCTATGCCAAATTCATGACATGTATACAGTAAACAAATCATGATCCATTTTCCAAATTTAGACTTTATTCAGTGAATCTGAATTTTTGTTAAGTAAATAATCTTAACCCATGCTCCTCTTTGACAATACGAGTATGAGTTCTTTACTACTGAGGTTCCTATGCTATACGCATGCTGAAGTGAGTCAAAAGAGAAGAAGGAAGTCAGTGAGGGTAGGTCAGAGGGAAGCCCTAGGAGGAATATGAGTAGGAATAAAGTAAAAGGGAAATGTTTTCATATCATGGGAGTGGGAAAAAAGGAAAGACAACTAAGACTGGGGAGAACTCTATCAACATTACTATTTTCTATTCACCTCTCTTTAAAAACTTAACAGGTCTAAATCATCATGCAAAATAGGTACTTCTGAGGTGCTTCCTTTTCAATATAACCATTTATTCAGTACACTTCATGCCTAATAGCATGGCAGAAAGAGTAAACCAAACAATTACGATGAATATGGTAAATGCCATAGAACTCTCAGGAGCCATGGAACACAAAAGCACATAAAATGGTGGTGGGGATGCCCGTATGTATTTCAGGCAGAGGGAACTACAGAGATGGGAGACTGGAGAGAGCATGATGCATTTAAGGGAACTACTTCTATACCAGAGGAGTCGGAGAAAGCCGGAGAATGGCAGAAGATGAGACTAGAATGACAGTAAGGAACAAGCTCTAAATATCTTTACATGCCAAGATAAGAAATAACCATAGGGAACCACCAAAGGTAAGAAAGACAGAAACATTTCAGATTAATGTTTTAGGAAGGGAGGGGGGCGCAAGATACAAGGTAGGGAGATCAACTGAAAGTCAATAAAACAGTCTAGGATTCTAAGTGACAGGAAAAGGGAATCTGAACTAGGCTAAGGGAAGGGAAAGGAATGCATTTGAAAGATAAATATTTAAGAGCTAGAATCAAGAGGTGAGAAAGGAAGAGTTACTAGGAAGTTACCAGGTTTCTGTGGGCAGAATTGCTAGGTAGCAGGAATCACATTCTATGATTCCTTACACAGAAATTGAACAGTACAGAGAAAAATCTGGAAGATGTCGTAACACTGATCCACCCTATACTAATTTGCTAGTGGGGAAGATGAATTACTACCTAATTCTTAACCATTGTCCAAGCCCTCCTTAAACATACCAGGTGTACCGGTTAATAATGTGGATTTTGTACTCAAAGAAAACATGGTAATTTCAAGAGAAACATCTAAAGTGTTTTATTCAAAGTAATGTCCATCGCTAGCTACACATTTCCCCATCTTTTAGGTAATTTGTGGATACCGTCCCAATAGAACTTTTCTTGTTTTGAGGCAAACCATTCAGAGACCCAATTTTCCACTTCTTCATATATCTTGAAGTGCTGCTCAGAAAGTATCACTAGTTCTGATACAGCGGGTGTGTTAATACTTCCCAGGCAAGATAGATCTTTTAACATGTCTTTAACTGGTTTTGAAGTGTGTGATGGTGCATTATCATGAAGCAAAATTACTTTGCCGTGTCTTCTGGAACATTCTGGTCCTTTCACGATCAAAACATGGTTCAAATTGTTTATTTGTTGTCGGTAGCGATCAGTATTAATGGTTTCACCTGGTTTTAGAAGCTCATAATACACCACACCTTCCTAATCCCACCAAACGCAGTGCATTGTCTTCTTTCTGAAGTGATTTGGCCTTGCAGTCGATGTTGATGGTTGACCTGGATCAATCCATGAGTTTGTGCATTTGGGATTCTCAAAATAAATCCACTTTTCATCGCCAGTCACAATTCGATGCAAAAAAGACTTTCATGCCGTTGAAGCAACATTTTACTGATGACTTTTCGGTTTTCCATTTGTCTTTCGTTCAGTTAATGTGGCACCTATTTTCCTTCCTTTAAAATCTTTCCATTGCTTGTAAATTATCGGAAATTGTTTGCTGAGCAATGTTTAATTTTTCTGCAAGTTGTTTTTGAGTTTGACACGCATCTTCATCCAATAATGCTTGTAACTGTTGGTCTTCAAACTTTTTGGTTGACCTGGACGTTCTTTGTCTTTCACATCAAAATCATCACTTTTAAAGCGTTTAAACCAGCATTCACAAGTATCTTAAGATGGAGCATGTTCACCATAAGCTTCCCGAAGTATATAACTTTCAGCAGCACTTTTCTTCAAAATAAAGTAATGAATTAAAACTTCCCACAAATGCTCTTTTTTTGGCATGAAATTGGACATTTTTTTAAAAAATATATTTTATTTATTTTTTACAGAGAGAAAGGGAGAGAGATAGAGAGTTAGAAACATCGATGAGAGAGAAACATCGATCAGCCGCCTTCTGCACATCTCCTACTGGGGATGTGGCCGCAACCAAGGCACATGCCCTTGACCGGAATCGAACCTGGGACCCTTCAGTCCGCAGGCCGACGCTCTATCCACTGAGCCAAACCGGTTTCGGCGACATTTTTAAGCGTAAAAATATGTTAACACCTTCAGAAAATTTGACATATGAAGTTTTGCAGCTTGCTGTCAATACAAAATAGCATACATATCAAATCGCATATATATCAACATATGTGTAACTCGATCTATTGAAAAAAATCCGATTAACTGGTACACCTGGTATAAGGGATCCTTTTTCTTCACATCCTAACACTTGCTATTTCTTGTCTTGTTGATATTAGTCATTCTAACAGGTATGAGGTGGCATTTCACTGTGATTTTTATTTTAATTTTTCTTATAGCTAGCGAAGTTGACCATCTTTTCATACATCTGTTGACTATTTGCATGTCTTTTTGGGAAGTGTCTGTTCAAGTCCTCTGCCCATTTTTTAATGGGAATGCTTGGCTTTTTGTTGTATTCTTTTTTTGAAAAATTTATTTATCTTTGAGAGCATTACAGATGTCCCCCAGAGTTGTATGAGTTCTTTATATATTATGGATAACTAGAGGCCCGGTGCACGAAATTCATGCACTGGAGGGGAGGGGGTCCCTCAGACTGGCCTGCACCTTCTCACAGTCCGGGAGTGATCGATTGCCCCTCAGAGGGAGGCCCCACCCATCCATCGCAGTGCTGCCAGCCAGGTAGCCTGGGCCTCCCTCTTTGGGGCCACTGATTGCAGTCGCCCCAAAGAGGTAGGCCCTGCCCACCCACTGCAGCCCGCTGGTGGGTGGCCTGGGCCTCGCTTTGCGGGGGCGATCATGGGGCGATGACTGGGCCCGACCAATTGCATCACACCTGTCTTGGCTGGCCTGGCGCCAGTGGGTGTCATAGCGTGGTAGTCTGGACAGTCGTTCCACTGTTTGGCTGTTCGGTCGATTTGCATATTACACTTTTATAGATAGCCCCTTATTACAGGTATTGTTTGCAAATATCTTCTCCCATTCAGTTGGCTGCCTTTTTGTTTTGTTGATGATTTCTTTTACAGTGCAGAAAACTTTTTTGTTTTATGTAGTCCCATTCATTTATTTTTGCTTTTACTTCACAAAAGGGCTTTTTAAAGCATGAAAACTTCTACATGATTTCTGGGAGGCCCGGAGGACTCCATTAACAGTGAACAAAAGAGTGTGTTAAATCACTTTCAGTTAGTTACCAAGTTACCTAGCTGGAATAAACAGTTCTACCTCTTTAAGAGAAAATACCTAATGAATTAAATTGTATGTTAGCATGTGAACATAAGCATTTACTTAACATTTATAAAGTGAGAGCATAACAAATTCTTTCCCTGACAGAGAAAGCATATTCAATGTAGAGGAGGAAAAATCTGTTCTGAATCTTAACTGGTCCACTCTTATTTAAGGTGTTAACTCCCACCTAGTGGTGAATTCTAGAACTGAAGTCATGAAATTCCAGGAAAAAACTTTTCATAAACATGCCTTAAAAAGTCATTTTCTGTGACCTCACATTATTTAAAAAAAGAAAAACAAGCACACACTTACCTCCATTTTCTGATTTTTCTGAAACACCAGACAGTTTCCAAAAGGCCTTCATCTGTTCTGCATTCCTATAATAACAAGTATCTTCAGATTAAGTGGCTAGTATTATTTCTTATTCATAAAGGGCACTCAATAAATAAATGTGTTTTAAATATTTCACTAGAACCACTATAATACTAAATTTATTTTTAATAGTATCACCTGGTGAAAATATTTGATATAATATAAAATATAATGTTATATGTCTCTCTCAATTAATGGAATTTTTATTAAATTAATGGACTTTTTACCAAATTATGTAATTTTCATTCCTACTAATTATAGAAAAATGTGTAGATGGCTCAGTTCATTACTCAAGAAAAACACACTTTTATTAAATGGTTAGAGTCTATACTAATATTAATAGAGAGCACAGGCGAGGTAGTTAAGAGATGAGAGTAGAATATCTAATACTATTAAACACTAATCTAATATGTGTTCCTATAGGTATGCCAGATATTATATTTAATCCTATAAAATAATTATGATCTTTATTTTTAAAAACAAAATGTTTAGAGAGGCTAAGTAATTTGCCTAAGGGTAAAGTTGTCTTGAATCATTCAAGTCTGGATGTTGACATCAAAACTAGTTTGTTTATTTTGGATTGAGGCTACTGTGGCTTAACTAGTAAAATGAACATCTTTTTATAGCATAGTTTCTATGGGAACATGCACCAAAACTTTTCAAACTTATACAATTTTCATAACTTAGGTTCTAAAAATTGGAGGTTAAAACGCATTTAGCAGAAATTCAGAAATCTCCTAAACTTACCATATTGCAGGAGGAAGGGACTGCATGTTTGTGACCCCTCCATCCACAGGTACCATCACCTGTATGTTGGAAAGCACACTTGGTATCACCATAGCTTCTGGGTTGTATTTATAATCCACTCTAAGATCTGTGGTGCCAGCACTACATTTCCAGTATGTTGCAAGATTTAGAGGCGTGGACTGAATACCATTTGATGATACCTTTAAAGAGAAAAACAAATATTTACTTGGCCTGAAAAGTAAACAAGTCAGTTAATGACATATATAAGTTCACAGAATCTGTTGTTATCCAGTGATTCTTATTTATGCTTGTAACGTTTGAATACCTCTCAGCATTCAACATATAATTCATAAAGAATCTTAGAATTCTAAGAACTTAGATTTAAAACAAGAGAAATGGATGTGTCATCATAAAGTTCTGCAAGTCTGGAATTAGAATATTTTCCAACTTCAAATGGCTAATTTTAATCACACGACCCATAGGTAAATGTTACAATTCTAATTCTTTAGTTCCTTGCTCAAAGGATTCCCTTTCAGTGAGACCTACTCTGATCACCCTGTTTAAATTTACATTGAAAATGCAATTTTTCAGAGCTTACTTTCACACTTCTTACTTTTTCCATACCACGTATTTTCAAACACATGATATTATTAACTTCTTTACTGTCTATCTCCTCATCCAACTCTCAGCAATTAGCAAGCACTGAATAATAAATGTTTGTTGAATGAATGATAAATTAATACTTGGAATAAACTTTAAGCTAACTAAATGGCAGCAGCACTTTTTTACTCTTTAGGTATTTATTTCCTAGAAACACAAGCTATTTAAATACAATTATCCTATTAAAAATTCAAACAATATAGAAGTATATGCAACAGGAAATTAATCCCTTGGCATTCTACCTCCTCATTGTTAGCATCATAGTACACATATACTTCTAGACTTTTTAGGCATATGTTTGCATAAACAGAGAGACATCTCATTCTTTTTAATGGCTATAATTCATGTAATCAATCTCTCTGTGGATGTGTACTTCAGTGGTTTCCTTTGTATTTTAGATTATTTTTCCCCCTTTTGTGTGATTTCTGAAGAATAGATTTCTGGAAGTGGAACTGTTGAGTTAAAGGTTAAATCTGCCCTGGCCAGTCTGGCTCCGTTGGTTGGGTGTCGTCCCATCACCAAAAGATCACTCACTGGTTTGACAGGTCGACAGTTTGGTCCTGGGTCAGGGCCCCCAGTGGGGGGAGAGGGGGTGCAGAAGGCAACTGATCGATGTTTTTTCTCTCTCTAAACATCAATATAAACATATTTTTTAAAAAAACAGAACTGCCTTCTAAGAGTCCATTAATTTTTACTACTAACAAGCGATCACACTCTTAATAAAGCAACTTTTTTTTATTTTTATCAATCTGATGGGCTAAAACCAGTATATCATTGTTGTCTAAATACCTACTGCTCTTGGGGGGGGGGGGGTCATTCGGGGGAAAAGGAGACATATGTAATACTTTAAACAATAAAAAAAAATATTCACTGCTCTGATTTCTACTGGTATGGAGCTTCTGTCCATAAGTTAGCTATCTATTGAGTTATTCACCTTTTACTTACAAATTTATAAAGGCTCTTTGGAGTAAGCCTTATGGGTCTGTCTTATATATTACAAATACTTTTCCCTCAAATTAAATATTGATTCTGTTCAGGGTTTGTTTTAGCTAAATATTTTATACACAAGTTTATTTTTGTGTCAAATATCTCTCTTCTTGCATAGCTTCTGGGTTTTGTACCATTCTTTGAAAGGTCTTCCATACTTCAAGATTCATTACTAATAAGTAGATATTATACATATATACACACACTTATATACCCATAAATATACATATATTTATTTTATTTTATTATCTTTATGGTCTCATTTATTATTAAACCTTTGATACATGTAGATTTTATTTTGGAGTTAGGAATTTAGCTTAAATTTTTTCCCAAATATCTAGCCTTCTGCCCCAATACCATTATTGAAAAATTCATCATCTCCACATTGCCTTAAAATGCTACTTTGTCATATAAACAATTTTCCATTTATGCTTAGATCTATTTTTGGATACTCTAATTTGTTCCATTCATCTGGCCATCTATTGTTGTGCCAGTTGCAGACTATTTTAAATATTGTTGCCTTATAATAATTTCCCATTAAAACTAAAACATTACTCCACATTACTGTTTAAAGCACTTCTTAACTTTATTCTTCCAGAAAACTTGAAAATAACTGTCAAATCTCTAAACACAAATACATAAACACCTCAACTGGGTTTCTAATTAGGAATATACTAAATTTTTAAGTTAATTTAGAAACAGCTAAACTTTTTTACATGAGTTTCCTGAAAATCAATGAAATATTCATTTCTAACTATATTCAAATCAGTAGAGGTTGTGTTATGTTTCTTCCTAATTGATATTTTTATTGTGAATGTTTTGCTGCATTAGTTTTCCTGATTGTTTTGAAATCTATTGATTTTTGCATTCATTTTTAAACTGATCACTTCACTAAATTCTCCTATATTCAAGTTTTTTACTTGATCTTCTTGATTTTTCCCAGGAAAAACTGATTCCTTATAAGTAATAATTTTGGTTTCTACTTTCCAATATTTATTACCACTTATTCCATTCTCTTCTCTAACTGCACTGACACATCCAGAAAAATCTTGTATACTAATAGAAATAATGGTTGTCTTAGCCATTCTTGACTTTGATTAATTGCTTTAGGTGGTTTATTAAGTCTGATGCTGCTGGTCTTTTCAAGTTAAGGACGCATTCATGTTTATATTTACTCAAAATTTTAACCAGAAATAGATGATGAATTTGATCATAAATACCATTTATTGAAAAATTCATTATTTCCACATTGTCTTTTTTAAAAAATTTATTGTCTAAAGTTTTACATATGTCTCCTTTTTCCCTGCTTGCACCCCCGCCCTCCTCCCAAGCCATTCCTACCCCGGGCAAACCCCCACCGCCCCAGTGCCTGTGTCCACTGGTTATGCTAATATGCATGCATACAAGTCCTTTGGTTGCTCTCTAGCCCCCCCTCCCCTGCCATTTGTCTCCGGATCTATTCCTGTTCATCAAATTATGTTGATCATTATATCCCACATATAAGTCCACATTGTCTTGAAATGCTACTAGTCAAATGGTCAAAATCTCCATAGGCTTAACAGATTTTCTGATTCTGAAACATCCTTGCATTCCTGAAATGAACCTCATTTGGTATGACATATTATTCATTTAATGATCTACAATATTCTATGTGTTACTATTTTAGACAGGATTTTTTCAATGACAGGACACTCACCTGATACTTTAATACATCTACATTATAATAAGAGGCAGCTGGATTTTGCTCTGATAGTTTCTTGAGGTAGACAGTAACAGCTTGCATGTTCATCCAAAAATCTTTTGTGTTAGAATCACACTGTGATGGATCACTGCATGCATAAGAAATATTTTTGTTATTTATTTGACTTTTATTTATCCTTTGCCTCTGTGTAACAATTTGGTGACCTGGGAAAAACTAGCAGAAAGGAACCAAAAGATGGGATGGAAAACACCGGAAATTGCTGCCTTGCACTACCACTTCAAAAATACAACTAAAAGACAAAACGGACATCATACAGAACCACAGGAAGGCTGGCTGAGTGGAAATTCTACAGCTAGAAGGAAAGAGAAAAGCACTGAGACTCAGAGGAGGTGCAGAAGTAAAGTGCAGAGGTATGGAGACACATGGAGAAAGGGCTGGCAACTGAGGACGCGGCGCACGTGAAAAGGGCTGGCAGTTGAGGACGCAGTTGTCTTTTTCAACCGGGAGGGAGTCTCAAGCTCCCAACTGCTCTGAACTCCAGTTCTGGGCAAGTCTCTGGGGACCCAGACTCATACAGGGAGAAACTGGACTGTCTGGCAGCGGGCAGAACTCAAGGGTGGCTTTCTCTCAGAAGTGCTTGCAGCGATTACCAGGACACTGAGATGCAGGGCCTCTTAGGGTAGGACTGAGGAGCAGCCATAGCTGTTTGTTCCGCCCTGTTGATCCCCTGATACCCCGCCCCACCCAAGCTGTGCACAGAGGCTTTTGCATATGAAAGACCTGGCCCTTTGCAACCTGAAAATTACCTAGCAAACTGCAGCTGAATCAGAGAGACCCAGAACTTTCAAAAGGAGGTCCAAGGCCCCACAGCAGCTTGCACTGCTTCACAGCTGGGCCACATCTGGGCACCTCCAAACCCCAAACAAAGAAGAAGAATCTCTCCATAGCTCCTGCTGGGTAGCCTCAGGCTGAGGCTAAATTAGCACCTCCTTAGAGATCCAAGAGCCAGTGTACCCAGTGGTCAGAGTGGGACCATCCAGGTTACAACTCCTCAGATCCATAAGGGACACACTCAGGGGGCAGACTCAGTGAGCACCAAAGCCCCACTGAAGCAAGTCTTGCCCCAGAAGAGTGTCTCCAGTTCCGAAGTTCTCCCCCTGCAGACACAGCTGATTCTCACAGCCAATTGGCCTGGAGGTCAATTCCTCCCAGTGATACCTACAACAATCAAGACTTAACTACAACCAGACTGTGCACAAAGCCCACAAAGGGGTGCACCAAGAGTGTCCACCTCAGGTAATTGGGGAGGCTGAGCCACTGGGCCCTATAGGACACCTAACACACAAAGCCACTCTACCAACACAGGGAAGCAGCGAAAATGCAGAGACAAAGAAACAGGTCACAAATGACAGAAATGGAGGAAAGCAAACTACTGGATATAGAGCTCAAAACCACACTTTTAAGCTTTTTCAAGAATTTTCTAGAAACCGCCGATAAATTTATTGAGACCCTCAAGAAATCTAGTGATACCCTCAAGGTTATGAAAAAGGACCAACTAGAAATTAAGCATACACTGACTGAAATAAAGGATATTATGGAGAGTTCCAACAGCAGACTAGAGGATTGCAAGAATCAAGTCAAAGATTTTAAATACGAAGAAGCAAAAATCACCCAACCGGAAAAACAAAAAGAAAAAAGAATCCACAAATATGAAGATAGTGTAAGGAGCCTCTGGGACAACTTCATGCGTACCAACATCCGAATTATGGGGGTGCCAGAAGAAGAGAGAGCGCAAGATATTGAAAACCTATTTGAAGAAATAATGACAGAAAACTGCCCCTACCTGGTCAAAGAAATAGACTTACAAGTCCAGGAAGCACCGAGAACCCCAAACAAAAGGAATCCAAAGAGGACCACACCAAGACACATCATCATTAAAATGCCAAGAGCAAAAGACAAAGAGAGAATCTTAAAAGCAGCAAGAGAAAAACAATCAGTTACCTACAAGGGAGTACCCATACGACTGTCAGCTGATTTCTCAACAGAAACTTTGCAGGCCAGAAGGGAGTGGCAAGAAATATTCAAAGTGATGCATAGCAAGAACGTACAACCAAGATTACTTTACCCAGCAAAGCTATCATTCAGAATTGAAGGTCAGATAAAGAGCTTCACAGATAAGAAAAAGCTAAAGGAGTTCATCACCACCAAACCAGTATTATATGAAATGCTGAAAGGTATTCTTTAAGAAGAGGAAGAAGAAGAAAACGGTAAAGATACAAATTATGAACAACAAATACACATCTATCAACAAGTGAATCTAAAAATCAACTGAATAAATAATCTGATGAACAGAATAAACTAATGAATATAATAGAATCAGGGGCATAGAAAGGGAGTGGACTGACTATTTCCGGGGGAAAGGGGGGAGAAAGAGGTGTGGGGGGTGTGAAAAGAGACTGGACAAAAATTGTACTCCTATGGATGAGAAGAGTGGGTGGTGGGGGTAAGGGCAGAGGGTGGGTGGGGTGTCAACCGGGTGGAGGGGAGCTATGGGGGGAACAACTGTAATAATCTGAACAATAAAGAATTAAAAAAAAAAAAAAAGATGGGATGGAAGAAAGCTGAAGTTAGGGAATAAAGAATAAACATACCAGAAGTTTGCCTGAAAGATGAGATGATGTAAGAACGTAAGAATGTAATAATTACTACCACCATCAAAAACAAAAACAAAAAAAAAAGCACAAAGTGTTCAATCATAAATAACTTTGGTATTGTCTTCAAATTAAATTATTATTGCTTCAAAAAAGCAGGAAAATGTTCTTAAAAAGAAATTCCACCTTTAAAGCAAAAGCACACAAACCTGAACACAAGTTGTGCATTTGGAAGAATTTGCTCTAGTCTGCTGATATTTTTCACCCTGAAGCACAGCACAGCTGGAGATGGATTGCTAGTGAAGACTTTAATAATTCCACTTGGAAATGATATTGTCATGTCACCAGTGATCTTCACAATACACCTGAAATTGGAGATTTTGAAAATTTTAAATAGTTTAAGTAAGGCACTTTAATCTCCATTTAAAGCATATCTGGTTTAAAAAGGACTTTACGTATATTTATAATTATGAACGAATTATTTTTTGTTTTATTTTTTAAACGATCCTTTGTGAAATTGCATACTCAACACAAATGTAGGCACACTGATAACTCCTCTACTTGTTTACAAAACCACCCCCTGGCCATCCTGGAAGGTAACACTGTCCCCACTGCAGCCATTTTTCCTTCGAAACACCAGAGTCCTAGGCCTCAGGGTGGCAGTCGGAGGTAAATGTCCTCCTTGTTCCTCACTGCCTCTTCCAACTCTGTGTTCCTTCTTCCTTCCTAAAAACTACCAGCTTCCTTTGAAACCCATACCATTGAACTATACTACTCACTCGTCCATCCCTTTCAAGTAATCTTCACTCCCTTTCATTTTCAGAAAATTTTAGCTCATGGCCTATTGTTAGTAAGTACTGGTACAGAAACAGACCATTATAATTTTTAGTGGGCACCTCCAATATCCATGTAGATAATCCTTTCAATATTTTGGTCCCCTAGTTCTTTAGCCCCTCACCTCTAATGATTCTGTCTTCCAGTCCACCTCAGCTATGCCGGAGCACCTCCATAATCTCAACTTTAGAATCCCCACTTATCTAATCACCACTTTCTTTTTTTCCCAACTCATCCTGTCTAGTATGGCATTTACAACAATTCTCCAACCTCATTAAAACTTCCAAAATGTTATTCCTACCAACCTTTTCACTAACCTTCACTCATTACTTCTTATCCGAATTTCCTCCCATCTTGGAATGTCCCGCATTACAAACACTCGCATGCATAAGTCCTCCCTTCTCTCTCACTTGATCATGCTTACTTGGCAAAACACAGTCTTTGCCAAGTTCAGCTCCTCACCTACATCTATAGAGCTGAGCATGACTAGAGCCAAAGCTCCCAACTGGGCCCCTTACTGTTCCCTGACAATTCTACAATCCCTACATCTTTTCATACCTTCACCCTTTCCCTCTAATCTGCAATATTCCTTCCCCCTCTCACAGCCGCTTTACTTTGCTGATTTTTTTCTAGTAAAATTTAAAGAACCTTCTCATACTCTCACTACAGAACTTTTAGTCTATCTGACTCTGTATCCATACCTTCTGCTTTCTCTCCTGTTTCAACTGATGAGTCTATGCACCCGAGGCCAATCCTATCACCTGTGCCCTGAAGCGCCTCTCCTCTCACACACTGAGGGATTTCACTCTTGCAGCTGTCCCTCTCTTTCCTGAAGGTTCAATTTTCCCCATACATACTGGATCTCTCCCATCAGCATACAGATGTGCTAAAATGAACAATAGCCTTAAAAAACACTAGATTAATAAAAATCCTCCTCTAATTCTCCTATCTCTCTTCTGCTACCCCATTTTCCTGCTTCCACTTAAAGCAAAACATCCTCAAAGAACTGTCTACATTTGCTTTTCCTAAATACAGTTGTCTATTTGCTCCTGAACAGGCTTTCATCTACCACTCTGCTAAAATTGTTCTTGTGAAGGTTACCAATGACCTCCAAATTGTCAATGGTCAATGTTTCTTGACCTGTTAGTGGCATCAGATATAGCTTCACAACCGTCCTTCATGAAAGGGTTTATTCACTTAATTTCTGGGACACTGCTCTACTGGTCTCTCCTCACCTCTCTTGTTGCATGCTATCTCTAATTCCTTTGATGGATCATTCTCATCCTGTTTTCTAAACACTGGAGGGTACCAGGACTTAGTTCTCATCAGATATCTTCTCTACTGTCTAAGGCCCCTGGTTTTAAGTATACAAATTAATGACAACTAGACATTTTATCTCTAACATCTATACCCTGAACTCCAGAATCATGCATTTGACTATCAACTTAGTATCTCCACTAAGTTGTCTTAGTGCTTCAAACTTAGCAGTCTACTCACTCATTAAATCTTGACAACTCTGTTTTTAAAATATATTCAGAATCTTATTTCTGTACAGCATCTCATCTACTAATACTCATATATAGAAGCCACCATCATCTCACCTGAACTTCTATGGTTAACTCTCTCTCTGCATCTACTCTGGCTCCTTCAAAAACATTAACCTCATTACTCCTCTGCTTAAAAGCCTCCACTGGCTTTCCACCTCACTCAAAATAAATTCTAGTTTGGCCGGTATGGCTCAGTGGCTGAGCATTGACCTATGAACAGAAGGTCACGGTTCAATTCCCAGTCAGGGCAGATGCCTGGGTTGTGGGCTCGATCCCCATTAGGGGGTGTGAAGGAGGCAGTCGATCAATGATGCTCTCTCATTATTGATGTTTCTATCTCTCTCTCCCTGTCCCTTCCTCTCTGAAATCAATAAAAAAAAATTTTAAAAGAAGGTAAAATTTTAAACTCATTACCATCCATCATGCCTAACCTAAACTGGTCCCTCTATGGATTTATCTTTGACTACTCTCCTCCTTGCTTGCTTCTACTCAGTGACATGGCTCTCCTTACTGTTTCTTAAATATGCCAAGCATGCTTTTACCTCAGTCCCTTACACTCACTGGAATGCTCTTCCTTCCAATACTTGCATGGCTTACTCCTAAATGTCTTTCAAACAACTGTTTAAAAGGATTACGTTGACCATTCTATCTAAAATAGTAGCCATCTATTGTAATTGTCCAACCCCTTACCCTGGTTTATTTTTCTTCATAGCATGTATCAATACCCCTAATATAACATTATTCATTCCATATATATTCAGTCATCAAATACTAGTATTTGAGTGCCAACTATGTGTAAAACTGTCTGTGCTGAGGATACTTTAGTTCTTCTCTCCTAAGCTTGCATTATTGTGAGAGAAAACTAATATTCAAAGAAACTTTCTCACATGATAATGCAAACTTGTAACAGTCTTATGCATAATAGGTGCTCAAATATTTAATGAATGAATGTAGGTTGAATGAATAATGTTCCATGAAAAGGAGAGATGGTCATTCACCCAAATATCATTTTCTTAAAATAAGGTCTCAGATATTAAACATGCATTCTAGGGCTCTCTTGCAAATGTCAGATTTTCACAAAAGATATATATTAGGCCAAGATTCATAGTCTATCCCCATCTAAAACATCATCCTGCTCTACAGCTATATAAAGCAACAGATGTGTCATACTGGTCATAAAGCCTGGGCAAGAATATTAATTGAGGGAAAAATCACTACTGCTGATTATAGTGATTTTTCAATTTGAAAGACAATCCTTAAATGATTATATTTGATAGCAAAAAACAAGTAAAACAAATAGAAAACCCTAACTTACACAGATTCAAATATAACTCTTAAAACTGACCATCTCACTCCTCCACCCAGCACACAAACATATACTTGTATCTTTTTAAAACTAACTTGGTGGGATCTGCTCCTTTAAAGTAGGCATTAACAGATTCTGTAAGGGCGACTGCCACAGGTAAGGTGTCCTGATTTCCAAGGCTGACAGGGCTGGGACCTCGTGACACACCTAGAATACAGACAATTCATTTGTTAAATCCTGCCGAAAAATATTTATTAAATACCAAGACAGATATATTCACAATGTTAGCTTGTCACAAACGACTCCATTACTGGTTTCAAATATGCCCCAAGTAAAAACTGGGGATTAAAAATATAGCATAAAATAATACAAAGGACAAAAAAAAATTAGGAAAACATGTCACAATGACTTTTTCTTTTAAATGTCAAGACACAGAAGGGTTGGGTTAAAGAATGTCAGAAGGTAAAGTCCTTTATCTGAAGAACTAAAATTACTAAAATATGGCTTCAAAATCATTCAGATACTAAATTCTTTCAGGTTCTACCCATCATATACATCAGGGCATTAAACTGGATTCTTTTTATTTATTATTATTTTCTTTTACCTCTTTTTTCTCTAATACTTGTATTATATTCCCACATTACTTTGTCTTGATAAATGTAACTAATAACATTTTTATAACTTTCCTGACATAAAGTTTGGATACCTTTAGAATAAAATCATAATGAAGCACAGTGTTTTAAAAGCATAATAAAATGTAAACAAAGTTAAATCTATGCATTTGTTCAAGTTTTTTAAAAATGTAAACTAAGTATCTGGTTTACTTCATAATAGAAAAAATCGCACCAAATAGTGCCCTGGGGTTTTTTCCTTACTAATGTCCTCTTCCCATTTATCCTTCATTTAATATGTAATGTGATACAATTTATAAAAGTGATGCAATTTGTAAACGTCAATAAAATAATTATAATTCATTCTTATTTAAAAAATGAGTAACCTAGGTCAACATATAGCTCTGAAATTTGAATGTACACTTTTGTTATACGAATGCTGCTCAATGTTAATAGCCATCAGTTATTTTTCATGTCAGAGGTGATAACCTAAGTGAAAGACTGAGTGACTTTTTTGTTGTTGTTAATCCTTACCCGAGGATATTTTTCCATTGAATTTTAGAGAGTGGAAAAGATGGGGAGAGACAGAGAAACATCACTATGAGACACACATGGATTAGTTGCACACTGCACAGGCCAAACTGGGGCCGGGGATTGAGCCTGCAATCAAGGTACAGGGTATGTGCCCTTGACCAGACTTGAACCTGGGACCCTTCAGTCTGTGGGCCAAGGCTGTATTCAGTGAGATAAACCAGCAAGGGCGAGAATCAATTCTGACAAAAATCAGTACTGGCTTTCTCTGCCTCACAACTAAACCTGAGATCCTACAAATAGTAAGAAAGATCTTTTGTTAGCTTTAGAGGCCAGGAAGATTTTGTGATATTCAAGAATTTGAAGGCATTTTGACTTAGAAAGTTCTTCAGTGAGAAAAATACCTGGCAACAAGAACTGCTGCTTCTATGTCACTAGGAAAAGTAACTCCCCACCCAAACAAGAAAACTTAAAATTCCAGATGAAAATTAAAATTCCAGTAATATAAAAATTTATTCACAAAATCACACTAGTTATTTTACTAGCCACTAACATGTGCCAGACACTTTACTGAGGAGGCATGAGAAAACAATGCCTTAAAACTGACATATTCTTTCTGCTTCTTTTGTAATTTTTCTGTGGTTCCAATAGCTTTAGAGTTAAGACCTATTGATATTTCTCAATGTTGAGAGAACAGGGAGATGGATATTGTGTTTTTATCATTGGGGATTTGATATCAATAGATCCTGTATAGCAACTGAACATTATTAGTACAAAATTGAGATAGTTAAATCTTAAGAGTTATTCTTGATTTCTGAGACACCATACAATGCTGGAAAAGAAAACTTTAGATAACAAAGTATTTTTAGATACACTTTAGGATCATTAGTTAACATATACATTTGCTTTTGATACAATACCTTGTGAAGTCTCACAGTGCTTTTCAATTTCAGAGAGTGTCCCAATCAAATTATCATCTTCTATCATATTTAAATAAAACAAAATATCGCAAGAAAATACTTTCAAGAAACAATAAGTATCAAAAATTTGTATCTAAGCAAAGAATTGAATAAGCATTATAATAAAGAAAGATAATTTTTAGGTAGACCTTAAAGAACCTTTGTCATACAAAATCCACACACATCCTGCCTGCATCATCACAGTCACTTACCTACTTGTGGTTCTACTGGTCACACTGAATCAAACTATAAACTATGTACCAACTCAATCAAAATTAACGTTTCCATCACAAAGAGAAAACCTTCTGAATAATCTAGGGGTAATGGAAAAGAACTAAAACTAATTTTGGTACAGGCCACCTGCCTGATTTCTAATAGGACCCTCATCTATGTATTTTATGACTAAAATGTAGAGTCCGCAGAAACAAATTAACAAAACCACATATACAAAAAAATGTAAGAAATTGCTGTTATAGCAAAGACAAACTTATTAGACATATTGTGTTTACATAAAATTAAAAGATAGGAAAATGCTATGTTCACAAAGGTATATGAAGTAAGATGGTTAACATCATGTTCAGACATTTAGAAATCATTTTTATCTCATTTTAGCCTATATTACTTATGCCATTTTTGCAATGGCCACAGACACAAAGGCACTTCTCCTGTGTTTAGAAAATCTAATTAGACATATTTAAATCAGCTTACTTAGGGCTGTGATTCTCATACTTAGCATACATCAGAATTATTTGGAAGGCCTGTTCAAGGACTGCTAGCGCTACTCTCAGCATTTCTGATTTAAAAGATTATATCTATATATATATAAAAGCCTAAGTGACCAAACAACTGTTTGACTGGTCACTATGACATGCACTGACCACCAGGGGGCAGACGCTCAACACAGGAGCTGCCCCCTGGTGGTCAGTGTGCGGGAGTGCCACTCAGCTGATTGATGGGTGCTAGACACCGGGCTGAGGGCTGGTGATGCAGCTGCAGAGACGTGAGCCTCTCCCGCCTCCACAGCAGTGCTACCAAGCTGTGGCAGCAGGCGCAGCAGAGCCGGGATCGGGTTCTTCCCTGGCCTGCCGCTTTGTGCACTACTACATCCCCCAAGGGGTCCTGGATTGCGAGAGGGCGCAGGCCAGGCTGAGGGAACCCACCGGTGCACGAATCAGTGCACTGGGCCTTTAGTTTCTATTAAGTTTCCAAGTGATGCAGTCAGATGCTGCAGGTCCAAGGACCACACTTTGAGCACTACTGAATTATGTTCAGTTAGTATAAATCAGAGATATACATTATCAAGGATAAACCCATTATTACTTAGAAGCAGCAGCAATAGGAACAGTTATAACTTTGATGAGAAGTTGTTACTCCCAAAACACAGCTCCTATGTTTAAGTGGCTTTATGCTTTGTTTATTGTACTAACAGTGGGTGATAAAGGTATAATAAAACACTCTTGAACAACATTTAAATGTACCACTGAATTTGTTCAGTGAGGTTTAGGTTTGTATGGCTATGCCTTAATACCTACTTTTAAATCTTTGTAATTTAAATTCTTGTAAAAAAAAATTATTCATTGCAAACATAAACTCCCCCCCCCACCTTTTTTTTCATTGAATTGTTTTTAAAATACAAACTTCCTTAAGAATGCAAGTATCAATTCACAGTAGAAAGGGCTACATTATATTTTGCCCTCAACTACAGTATTTATATTGGTTAGTTTATAAATTTGCTTTTTTTTTCAATTACAGTTTATATTCAGTGTTATTTTGTATTCGTTTTAGGTAAATTTGATGCATTAACAGTGTTAACCATGGTTAAAATTCTCCTATTTAGATAACATAAACTATGAATAAGAAAAGAAAAATGTGACTAGTTTGATAATGCCAGGTGTGTTTCCAGGAAACCCAAATTTCTAACGTTAAAGTCATCACCAGCCCATTAAACAAACAACAACAAACCCTCAGCCTGATCATACTTTGGATGCCAGCTCTCACATGTAATCCATGATAATCCCTTACCTACTGTGGGAGTATTGGCAGCACTCAATGAAGCAGAAGATGAGATAGAGGAAGAACTTTCTGCCCGGGCTAAAGGAGCAGCAGGAGGTGGGCTGGTATTGGAAGTTACAGGTGGGCTGAATGGCCTGGGCTTAAAAACAAAGAGTTATTTATCAAAATGGTAAGATAATTCCTCCATTATCAGAAAAAGATTATTAGGTATCAGGTATATTTCATTTTAATATACTTAAATTTATAATGTGAATTTCTTGTAACTCAAAATTAGAGATGCATAGATCAAATAATTTTTGAGGCTGTATTAAAAGCTGAAAAGGTTATTTTAAAATAATGCTGTCAAGAGAATCTTTGTACATAAAACATTTTCTGTATTTCAAAAAGTATGCTTAAGATAGAATCTCAGAAGTCAAATGACTAAACAGTATGAAGACTTTCCACACTTACTGCCAAACTGCTTCCCAAAAGGTTTACTAACTTTACCACTTTATAAATACAAGACAGTATTTCCCTGCACCCTTGCCAACAATGAATAGATAGGCCTTAGGAGAAGAAGAAAATAATTTAACTTTTAGCCAATTTGATAGATTAAAAAAAATTGGCATTTCCACTTTTATGAGTTGTATATATTAGCACTGTCTGCTTTAGTTTTGGGAGGACTTATTATTACCTGAGCTTTCACTAACCCATTGTTTGCCCTTTATTTTTAGTTTGCCCTTTTAGTTTTTACAAATCTCCACATTTTCCTTTATAATTCGTTTTAACACTTCCTCATTGAGAAAGTTACCACCATACAGAGGTTTGAGAAAATCTTCATTTTACTGTCTTCCCACTTTTCTAGTTTAACATAAAAACAAATATAAAAAACACTGTTCTAATTCATTTATCTTTTACCAGGGTAAATGAATTTTTCCCTCCCAAATTCCTAACTGTTCCAATAATACATTAGCAATACTTCCTGAGGTGTTACCACTTTTTAAAATAGGTATATTTAGCTTACTTAAAAATAACGTTTTCCTGTTTATAAAAGAATTAAGCAAATACAATATTTATTTAGTGCCTACATATGTATCAGGCCATGGATTAGTTACTATATACGAAGCAGTGAACAAGACGCTGTTTCTGTCCTTAGTTATTTGAGGAATTTGGTAAACAAAAGGCAGGGTATAGGCTTGGAGAGGACAATGGAGGATAATGGGGACATAGGTAATACTTTCAACAATCAGAATAGAAAAAAAAGTACAAATTAGCAGGCACAGAATAGTCATGGGGATGTAAAGTACAGTATAGGAAATACAGTCAATAATATTATAATTGACTACATGTATAGTGTTAGATGGTACTAGATTTATCGGGATGATCACTTTGTAAGTTATATAAATGTCCAATCACTGGGTTATGCACCTGAAACTATACTGTACCTCAACTCTAATAGAAAAATAAAACATTATTAAAAAAATAAAAAAGGTAAAAGAAAAACAAACAAATCCTATAAACATTCATACACTGAAATTAGTCAACTCTTCATTCCATGAATATAAATTTACAGATATAACTTTCATGAAAATTAGAAAGTACTGACCAGTGTTTTACAATTAGTAACCCCCCACTTACCTATTCTTAAAATCTTAGTATTTTGTATTCAGATTGGGGTACTGCAAGGTATTGAGACCAAATAAAATATTAAATTCAACAGTTGATGTGAAACTAACAAGCTTAGGAAAGTCTTGAAATCAATTACTGTGAGGGACAATTCTCCTGTGGCAACATGGCCTCTATAATGTGGCTGCAATTCTATAATTTAGAATGTGCCTTTTACTACAAGTTTTTAAGAAGAGGCAAAAACAGCTCAAGTGGTTTTTGCTTGTTTTAGAGCATCACTGTCTAGCACTTAAATTTGGCAAGTCCAAATTTGAGATGAGTTGCAACTATAAAATACATAATGGGATTTGAACTTAGTACATTCACAAAAAGAATGTAAACACTCAATAACTTTTATATTGATTACATGTTAAATTGATATTTTTATATGAAATAAAAACATTTTAAAGTTTTTACTTATTTATGTGGCTACTAGAACATTTGAAATTATATTTTTATTTGGACAGCACTGCTTCTCAAATATTAGCATGCATCAGAATCACTTGGAGAGCTTATGAAAACACAATTGCTAGGCCACTCCCCAGAATTGCTGATTTGTCTGGGGTGAAGCCAGAGAAAGTGAATTTCTAACAAGTTCCCAAGAGATGCTAATGCTGCTGCTGGTCTTGGGACCACACTTTGAGAACCACTGCTCTAGATCAATGAGGGCTCTCTGAAGGGGCGTGGGGAAGATGTTATTATAGACCTTCTGACAAAAGTGCACATACAAGCATGCAAGATAATAGGCACTCCAATGTACAACTGGAGAGAATTCAAATCAGCATAACCTTTCAAATGAGGAATACAGCAACAATCATCAAGAGTCTTAAAAATGTGCATTCCAGCCGAAACCGTTTTGACTCAGTGGATAGAGCGTCGGTCTGCGAACTGAAAGGTCCCAGGTTCGATTCCGGTCAAGGGCATGTACCTGGGTTGCAAGCACATCTCCAGTGGGGGATGTGCAGGAGGCGGCTGATCGATGTTTCTGACTATCTCTCTCCCTTCCTCTCTGTAAAAAATCAATAAAATATATTGTAAAAAAAAATGTGCATTCCATTTACTTCATGGATTTCACTCTTTAAATTTTTAATGAAATAATGTCTGCAAAAAAGCAAACATAAGGACATTCATTAAGACACTGTTTATCATGGAAACTTGGAAATAAACTAAATGTCAAATTCCTAAAATTTTTTTGGAAATGTAATGCTGGCAGTAGTGTCTAAGATAGAGCATTTATGCTATGTAGCCAGTTCAAATGGCGCTCCCTGGGTCCCTTAGAGAGTGGTTTTTAGAAAGCTCTCAAGGCCGAGGCAGAGAGTGAAGGATTCAACTACTAAAGTCTTTTACTTATTTAACAGACTTAACAACATTAAGATTACTTAACAAAGAATTCTACCACTTTAATTCTATATAATTCGTGATATAGAATTCCCAAAATATTTTCAAGTGAAGAAAAATATCCACATACTACTCATAACTTTTTGAACAATTAACGCACTTGACAATGTTCTTAGGTGTTTTACATATAGTACCACAACAACCTATTATCGTTATACTCATTTTACCAATAGTGAAACAGATTCCAAATAAGTAACCTACCTACTGTTGCTCAGGTAGTTAATGGTTGATAAAGTTGTGCTTTTAACAACTATATTTTACTACTTCTGAATATTTAAGTACCTATGCATTCAAAAAATTATGAAAGCATATATATATATATTAACAGCAGTTACTCTTTTGAGTGGTAAATATAGAAGGAATTTTTTGTTCTTTGTGTTTTCTCTATTTTCCAAATTTTACAACATGATCAGGCACTGCTCTTGTAAGCAGGAAAACATCCATGTTAAGATGTAACAATTTTTGTATTACTTAAATAATACCATCTCCTTAGCAGCTGATATTTAGTCCTTCATCTCACTCCCACTGAGTCTGTTCATTGGGAACAGGGTTGTAAAAGAAAGATGCCACCATTTCAACGCTTGGTGCTCAAGCCTTTCATTTAGTCATGAAGTATTTCGTAATAGGCCAGGCACTATGCAAAGCACTAAGGACATGAAATTAAATGCGGCACAGTCCAGTGACCGGGGCACACACAAAGAAAGTATGGCTCATTAGGGGGAGGGAGAGAAATACAATGTGATTTGTGCACTAAGAGAAACATAAGCAAAACATGAGTATGAGGAAGAGAATGATTAAATCCAGTGGGGGAGAAGTAATGATCAAAGAGGGTTTTATCTACACGGTGATATTTAACAGGATCTAAAAGAAAACTGAGGGGCATTTCAGATACAGGTGGCATAATAAGACATGGATGTATAAAAGAGCATGATGTGTTTGGGGAACAGTGGAAAGTTTTAAGTGGCTGGAACATAGGCTGCAAAGAAGAGAAATTTGTACAGTTCATCTGGTAATGCAGGTAGTTCATCAAAAGCCTTGTACATGCAGCTAAAATATTCAATCACATGAAACACTGGATATGTATATCAGAAGAAAAAGACTAAGCTTGACTTTCAGAAATTAAATCTGGCAATTAGATCAGAGGCAAAAAGACTGATTTGGGAGCGCCTCACTCTGACTAGACCCCATAAAATTTCTTTCACTATCTGACAACTTTTGACAACCAATGCTTTTTTGCCTTTTCTTCTTTTACAGCAATATGTATTTAATATAAAGAAGTCAATTACGTGATGTGAATTAGTATCCTTTTATACGAAATAAAGAAAGCTGAACTAGACGCCCTCCAGGACTTTCCTGGCAATATACTTCTAAGGCCTAAGAACCAAGGAGAATTATATAAAAACTGCGTCTCAGCTGTGAAACAATGGGTACTGAATAATATTGTTATAATATGCCAACTTTCTCAGAAAATCTTTTTTGTCTTAAACAATGTCTTGCTCCACAGGTATGATAATGAGGTAAGATGGGAGAATGAAGGAACTGTTGTTTGGGAAAACCCTTCTATACTTTGAAAACTCCAGGAGAAAATTCCAAGCATTTAACTGTAAAGGGGGCATAAAGAAAGATATCATTTGCATCTTAAATCAAAACAGTTATAGTTTTTTAAAAAAGAGAAACACCTGAGTACATACTATTTCATTAATCCCACTGAGTTTGCCTGAAGTAAGCTTTGGTCTGGAAGCAGGCCTTGGAGGTGGGACAATGGTGCCTACAGAAAGAGGAGTTGTGGGCCTGGCTGGTGGGGGGAAAAGAAAATTTGAAGAAAATTATTAGTACGTAGCAATCCTGACATAAAAAGACATTCTATTATAGAGAACTGTTAGGATTCAAAGTTCATTTTTAAAGAGTTTTTTTTGGTGTTTTTTTTTAAAGATACTTGGTGAAATACTGAGAGCCTATCAATGAAATACACTCTTTTTGAAACTACCAATATTATTCCTGGAAAAAAATCATTAAATTTTCAAGAAAACTGACACACATAAGTTATAGTCCTGTTTCAATTATTTACACAGTTATTAGCTGATGTAAACAAATAATTTAAGGCCTAAGGTCTTTAGTTTATTGCCCATACACCTACTTTACAGATAGTAATGAAAGACCAAGCCTTTGAAACAATACCTTCAAAATAGGAACATGAACTCTAAATCAAACACTTACCTTTAAAACTGTAATTTGACTTTTAAATTGAACCACATTGTAACATTTTTTGTAATAAAAGTATTAAATTTATCTTTATTTTAAAAATTGCCCTAGCCAGTTTGGCTCAATGGATAGAGTGTTGGCCTGCGGACTGAAGGGTCCTGGGTTCGATTCCGATCAAGGGCACATGCCCGGGTTGCAGGCTCAGTCCCCAGTAGGGGGTGTGCAGGAGGCAGCCAATCAATGATTTTCTCTCATCACTGATGTTTCTATCTTTCTCTCCCTCTCCCTTCCTCTTTAAAATCAATAAAAATACATTTAAAAATAAATAAAATAAAATTTCCCTAAATCATTCTAATTCATTTTTGTTAAGTATTGAAAATAATCTAACCTTCCCTAAATCCTACATAAATTTAATGTTTACTGTTTTTCAATGCCAGTTGCAAATTTTGAAATTTTATAAATCAAATACTAACCTCCATATTCCTAATTAAAAATAACTCATCATGGTAGAAATTAATGAATGGAATTCAAGTACACATTATCAAAAGTAACATAATTCAGAAACTGGAGAATATAATATGGATGGGAAGAAATATATTTCAGTAAGTTTTAGAAGTTTACAGATGTGTAAAGTTAAAAATATGTGAAATGGTCTAAGGATACATGGGGAAACAACAGGTAAAGCTGAGGCCCTTGGTCAGCAGTAGAGGAATAGGGGAAGAACATGGAGGTGGTAAGAAGCAACCTAACGAAAAAAGGTAGTTGACAGGACAGAGAGTAAATGCAGTGGGGCTATCTAATCATATCATATGAAGGGATAACATATATAGGCATCTTTTAGGTTGCTTGAAGAAAAAACAGTAGAAAGCTGGTAAGAAATCGTTAGTTTCTAAGGCTGCTGCCTTTTTCCAGTCAGCAGCAGTTCTTTCATGCTGCACTCCTACTTTAAGCTATACACTGGAAGAAATGTGCACTAACCTGAGACCATATCTCTTCCCTGTGCTATAACCCATTTGCTTTAAAGACATGTTCATTATTAATGAAACCAGCACTGGCCAATACTCAAGTTATTTCAAACGTGTGAGAGGCTAACATAACAGACATTTACATCTGAAACTTCATTTGTTTCTCCAAATGGCATTCAGACTGACTCAAAACTAAGCCTAGTAGAAGTGTTAAGTTCAGCTTCTTCAAATAATCAAAAATTGCTGTTTGAGGAAAGCCAATAAAACTAACATAACTGTTTATAAATGAATCTATTAATTATAAATGAATCTACCTGCATATGCCAATTAGATACTGCTTCCAGAAGCCTTTGAAGGAGATTACTATAATTGTTTACAAGCTTACGAGTCTTAATTGTGGATTTTTGGTAGGAGTAGTGGTGATGTTGATGGTGAAGCTCACTTCCAAGAAATACCCATATTAGACACAGTATATGAAGAAATAAGAAGTGGCCTGTAAATAAGAAGGATAGTAACAGCAGATAGGAGCTAACCTACCCTCTGATAATGCCTAAAGAGAATAGACAAGGCATGTTTCCCATACCATTCTTTACATAAATAAAGAAAATACTAATCTAGACTCGAGAAACAATGATGAAGATGCAAAAGAAAAATCAGCAACACTGTTAGCTTCTTCTGTCAGTAATTTTCAGGACATGTGACATTATGGCAAGGGCCACTTTGATCTTCAGAGATGCGGGTGTTGGAAGATCTCTCATCCAAAGCATCAGGAAGCCCAAAGGGGTGTTCAGCTTTCCAATGCAATCTCTGGAATGCTGTCTGAGCTACACTGGAGAGATGAACTTGTAACACCTTCATCAATAAAGGAAATCACTGACTTTGTGACCATGAAGCAAAAGGAAACTGATATGTGCTCTCTGGTGGTGCTGTTAATTACTGTGAAACAATAATTATCTCTATCAATATCACTAATATTCTTTGAAGGGCAAAGTAATTTGTGACATTATTTTTCAGACTATATAGGAAGGTTAAAAATACATACCAAAGTTAATTTTAAAACTAATCAAAGGTTAGTAAGTGCTTTATCATATCCTAGCTACTAAATATCAAATGATACCTTTTTACCTGAAATTGAAAGTGATAGGGGCAAAACATTCTTTAGACAGGTAGCAAGAGGAAAGAGCTTTTTTTGAAAATGAAGAGACTGCTAAAGAAAATTGTGAGAAACAAAGGGCAGAGTTACATACATAACTAAAGCCTCTGGGATACCAATGTAAATATTTTTATCAAAGATTTGAAAAAATAATTTATAAAAGAATATTTAAAAAATTGAAAAACACTGCTTAGGACCCTCTTCATTCTAAATACAAAACACCATTCTGACATTATCACTAACCAAAAAAGAGACCTAATGACAACTTCAGTTTTCCTGTACGATTTTAGTTTCCTTATACAAGCTATTAGTAGGGTTATTTTTAGAAAACTAATTAGTAACAAATGCCCATTCAGAAAGGATATAATGACACTTCAGAGTATGTTCAACTCTCCATTGACTATCTCTTGCTGTTTTACAAATATTAGGTACAGATCACTTTCCCTTCAAATTCCAAATTGTTTCAGGTTCAGGTTGCCTAAAACACAATCTAAAAATTTATTTTAAAATATTAGTTTCTAGCCTGGCCTGTCTAGCTCAGTAGGTTAAGCCAACATCAACCCAAGAACCAAGAGTTCCGGTCAGGGCACATGCCCGGATGCGGTTGTGGGTTCAATCCCCAGTAGGGGGCATGCAGGAGACAGCTGATCAATGATTCTCATCACTGATGTTTCTATCTTTCCCTCTCTGAAATCAACAAAAATGTTTTTTTTTTAATAAATATTCATTTCTAAACAGTCTAATTTTAAATACTAGTGTTTGTTTTATTGTTAATAGTAAGATGTTTTATTATCAATAGTAAAATGTTTCAACAAGGCTTATTGTTTTGTTAATAATGCCAGAGTGCAGAAGACTTTAGAATTTGTAAGACCCAGGTCTGAATCTATGCTTCATCATTTCCTAGTTATATAATCTTAGAGAAATTCCTAATATTATAAAATGGGAATAAAAACTTCATGCAGCAGTTAATGAAGTGAAATAACACATATGTAACTCCTAGCAGAGTGAGATAGCAGAATCTCAATTGATTCAAGTTCTTTCCCACCGTTCCAGCACTCCCTTAACCCCCAATACTATATGTATGGCATTTCTAAAATCCTAGAGAAGATTGAAGATCAACTTAGAGAAATTTTATTTCCTTGCTTTGAACAAGCAGTGATTTTATTTAACACTAGAGGCCCGATGCATGAATTCGTGCAGGGGGGGGGGGGAGGTCCCCTCAGCCTGGCCTGCAGGATCGGGCCAAAACCAGCTCTCCAACATCCCCTGAGGGGTCCTGGATTGCGAGAGGGCACAAGCCAGGCCAAGGGACCCCACCAGTGCATGATCAGGGCTGGGGAGGGACGCGGGAGGTTGGCCAGCAGGAAAGGAATCACAGGAGGGCTCCAGGGCGTGTCCAGCCTATCTTGTTCTGTTCTGATTGGCCAGACCCGAGCAGCAAGCTAACCTCCCGGGGGAGCGTCTGCCCCCTGGTGGTCAGTGCACATCATAGCAACTGGTCAACTGTCCCCTGGTGGTCAGTACACACCATAGTGAGCGGTTGAGCGGCCTTAGCATATCATTAGCAAACTGTGCTTTGAGCCGAAACTGGTTTGGCTCAGTGGATAGAGCATCGGCTTGCGGACTGAAGGGTCCCGGGTTCGATTCCAGTCAAGGGCATGTACCTGGATTGCGGGCACATCCCCAGTGGGAGATGTGCAGGAGGCAGCTGATCGATGTTTCTCTCTCATCGATGTTTCTGACTATCTCTCTCCCTTTCTCTCTGTAAAAAAATCAATAAAATATATTTAAAAAAAACAAACAAACAAAAAAAACTGTGCTTTGATTGGTTGAATGGACGACCGGACACTTAGTTAGGCTTTTATTATATAGGATGCATTTTTTGATGCCTGCTTTGAGTATTGGCAAATGAGATTTTATATTTTGAAGAAAAGAGAAACTTAACATATTCTTGCCAAAACAATTAAAAAGCATTCATCAAGTCCTTTCAGACTTGGGAATTGCTAAAACCTTTCTGGAAAGCAGTTTGGCAATAAGTATTAATGAGCATACCTTGTAACTCATAGATCTTATATTGAAAAATTATAAGGATATTATGAGACATGTGCACAAAACTTGTTATATTCATGAATGTTCATAATATTAGAAAATTCGATCTAATGTACATGTCCATCAAGAAAGCACTGGTTTACATTTATGCATATCTATACAGCTGAATTTTATCTATAAGCAATAAGATTATTTGATGCCTACAAATAAACAACAGGTTTTTTCCCATTTATATGTTCAATTTTTATGGTTTAAGCCATAGGCTCTTTAAGTTAATAAAACCAGTATAAAATCACTTTTATCTGGCAATATGATCTGAGGACAAGTTAAAACATTTTTGATCATTAAGTATAACGATACATAATGAATAAATCAATTAGAAAAACTACTGAATTCCTCAGTTTAAAATATATATGTATGTATATATATATTTACCTGATGATGATGAAGTTAGTGAAGCTGAAGATGAATCAAGAGAAAGTCCACCAAACAGGGGATCCCAAGCAAGTAAATCACTGGTTCCTTTCCTACCATAATATTTTTAAAATAAAGATTTTAATAAAGGAATATTTTATTAATATAAAATTTAGTCACTATCATTTTGCAGAATTATAATAGTTCAACATATATGATTAAAAAGTTGAATGTTCTGCCACTGGAATATGTGAAGAAACTTAAAAAATGTAATAAACCAATTTGTTAACCATTATAAGCAGGATCTATTGTGTGAAGATGATAGGAAGAGATAGAAGATTAATCCCCACCAATTGCACCTTGTTATACTCTTAACAATCTTAGGGGCTGTCAGAATGGATATAATGATTTCAGCTTTACAAATGAAAAAAGCAGCATGGAGTCTCTAAATAAGCTGCTTAAGGACACACAGCTACTTAATTCTATAACAATGCCAGGTCTTAAGAGATATGAAATTAGAAATTTTGTAAGATCATACTTTATTTTCAAAGAAAAAGAGGAAAGGGTTTTTTAAAAAGTATTGCTCATGTACATTAAGTAAACCCAACACTTGATATAAACTTCAAAGATCTTATCACTGCAGTAGATCATGCAAGGGCAGGGTTTCTCCTTGGACAAGCCACTGCCTGAGACACTAAAGCAGTCTGGTGAAGTATCTGGGGCAGACCTGCCTTTCTGAGACATAACCAAGCCAATGACAAAATCATCAAGGAAATCAACATTCTAGTTTCAAAAACCTATGTGCTGCATAACCAAAGTTTTCTTCCACTGACCTCTTGGAATCAATGCACTGTACTGGTTACTCTCTGGATTCAACACCTGGCTCTTTACTTTAATACAAACTTTTATATAAATACTAGAAGCCTGGTGCATGAAATTCAGGCACTCGGGGTTGGGGGTCCCCTCAGCCCAGCCTGCGCCCTCTCGCAGTCTAGGAGCCCTCGGGGGATCTCCGACTGACAGCTTAGGCCCATTCCCCACTGTGCTCACCAGCCGTGAGCCCAGTTTCTGGCTGAGTGGTGCACCCCCTGTGGGAGCAACACTGACCACCAGGAGGAAGCTCCAGCTTTGAGCATATGCCCCTGGTGGTCAGTGCACATCATAGCGACCGGTTGTTCCGCCATTCGGTCGATTTGCATATTAGCCTTTTATTATATATAGGATAGGATAGCCTCTAGTCTTGAAGCAGCCCACCTTAGCCACTATCTCCTTTTTAAATTTTTTCCAGCTTTATTGAGGTACACTTGACATTAAAATTGTATGTATTTAAAGTGTAAAAAAAGAGAGTAATCCCCATAAAACAATATTTTAATGCATCAAACTGCCATTATTTTCTTAAATATCTTTTAAAAATCTTAGAAAACATATCCACTACATAATAAAAATGTTACAATGATCTATAGCCACATATCTTGTATCTCAACATGCACCTACATGGACACACTACATCTTGCATGATAAAGCCTAGAATTACAATTGCATATGATTCCTAAAAACAGAGTTTAAAAACTTATAAAACTAGTGCTTAGCTTGAAAAGTATAATTTTAAACTATGCATTTATTATTTAACTTTTAATCATGCAGAAAACATTAAAACAAAGTATTCTTATTGATAGATACAGAAGTGAAAAAAGAGTGAAAAAAGACCCATGCCACCACATTGGCTTAAATTATTTTTTCTTTTTAACAGCTGGCAACATTCCTTCTAGCCTCTCCTTTTTCAACTTGAGACACTTCCTCACTCTGAAGCTCATGCAGTATACAGTCTGTTTTACAAGGTCACAGCCAAAATTGAAGGGAAAAAGTAAGAAATTTTTCATGAGAATAACTAGTTGAAATACAGGTATGTATGAACTTGGAATACTATCAATTATTTAGAAGCAATAAAGCCATCAAGGCAAAATACAGTTGAATGGATTTTTTACATTATTATAAAAAATACTGTCAAATGAGAAATAATTAAAACAATGAAAAACTCCACATGGCATCTGACAGCTTAGGAAACAGGGTAATTCATAACACCCTACTGGAATTAAAACTGAAGAGATAATAAAATTCTAGAAAACAGGACAAAGGATACTTTAAAGGTAGTGGGGAGGAAAGAATAAAAAGGTGGAAGAAATAGAGGACTTTTAGGGTAGTCATACTATTCTGACTACTACTACAATGGTGGACATATTATCATCCATTTGTCAAAACTTGCAGGATGTATAACCAAGAGTAAACTTTAGTGTAAACCATGGACTTCGGGTAATAATGATGTGTCAATGTAGGTTCATTAATTATAACAAATGTGCTACTCTGATGGGGGAAGCTGAGCATATGTGGGGGCAGGGTATACGCAAAAACTCTGTACCTTTCACTCAATTTTGCTGTGAACCTAAAATTGCTCTAAAAAAAATAAAGATTTTTTTAAAAATTTAAACATGGGACTTACTCATTGGATGAAGCAGATGATTTCGATTTTGTTAACTCTTCACCTATTAAAAATTATCTCATTACAATAAACAATTTAAAAATTCTGGAATTAATAACAAATATAAACAATTAGAAAAAGAAAAAATAAACCTCTAACAAGTTTTCTACTGTAAAGACTATTAAAATAATAAGATTTAGAGTTTCTGCTAAATCTTTATTTCTTCTAATATCGTTCATAAAAAATGACAAGTCAAATCAACTGACTTCTCGTATTTATTAAAATAAAATGGCTGTTGAAAAGAAAAATATGGGCTGCAACTTTAAAAATTAGAACAAATGTTTAAATACTTATGTAAGTATCACTCAAGAATTTTAATTGATGGATCATGAAAGCATTTTTCAAATTCTAAGAATATCATTAGTGATTATTTTACTGGCCAAAAGTAGTTACCAACTCTTGAAAAACATCCTATTTTTAAAAATTAAAATTTGTATAACAATCTAGAGCAAAAATCTCTGTAAGACAGTTAGCTCTGCTACCTTTGTAACATGAATCATTTCATAAGGAACTAATACATAGGGGAAAGGCATCAGTAATGCAAAAGTCATGTTGGTTCATAAGAAACCTTCAGTGCACCTCAATGTTTTGCATCATTAAGCAATAGCTGGAGATTACAAACTATATCGACATGGGTAACTGCAACAAACCATGAGGAGGAACACCTCACTGTACGTGATGCCATTCACACCACCTTCTCCCATTTGGCTCAGTTTAGAGTTTGTTTTGCCTCAAAGTGCTTATTGTGCTGCTGTTCTCCATCTTTTTGCAAACTGCCCTCATCTTTATAAGTCGATAGTCTCCTTTTATCCTCATTTTCTTCAAATCCCCTATCATCAAGTTACTCACCATTTTTTTTAAAATCCTTTTTGTTTTGTATTTATTACAAATTTAGTGGGTATTTTTAATTGAGCTAGAATTTTTATTAGGATTGATGCTGATTAAGCATTGTTTACAAAATTGCATAGCTTTTGATTGTGCTGCCCAAACTCTTCCCCACAACCCTTATTTTTATGCACGATTCTGCACAAGGTATTAACACCCCCAAAATGTTTTTAATATAAAGTGCTATCCTAAAAACCATGTAATAGAAATTGCAATTGTGATCTGACTTAAAAATAGGTAAAACTACAGATTACTCATAAAGGCCTTCCAGCTCAAGAGGGAGTGTTATACCAATTAAACAGTTTAACATTTTTAATCAGAAGCTACTCTCTAGCTTTGCTGATTTCTAAAAAACATTGCCCTAGTTGGTTTGGCTTAGTGGATAGAGTGTTGGCCTGAAGACCAAAGGGTCCCAGGTTCGATTCGGGCCAAAGGCACATGCCCTGGTTGCGGGCTCAATCCACCCTCAGTAGGGGACGTGCAAGGAGTCAGACAATCAATGATTCTCTCTCATCATTGATGTTTCTATCTCTCCATCTCTCTCCCTTCCTCTCTGAAATCAATAATATATATATAAAATTACATTGTAGTCAGGTATTAAAGTTTATGACATGTCTCAAAGCTAAAAGAGATAAATTGTCTTCTGTTATAAAATAAGTATCCTCTTAGTCTGTTGTGAAGGCTCATGATGAGAAAGGACTATTTCTGTACCTACATATATAAGGCTATAAGGCTACAAGCTTAGTAAATTGCCTGATAAATTTTAATAGAAATAAAATAACCAACTTAAAATGTCAAACTTACTAGACGAATTCCGATTCATCTGCACCTAAAACAGAAATGAAAAAACCAAGTGCCATTAAATAAATAATTTAATTTGGCAATGAAATATTTCGTAAAATGTTAATTCTGGGAACCTAAATTTTAAGTTGTTTTTAGTATATCTGCTCAATTGTAAACTGTATTTACATAAAAAGATATACAGAAAAACTTTCAGTAGTTTTTGTTTTGTAGTAAAAAAATAATACATTTACTTTTAACATTCAATAAAATATTTTTAAATATTAGACTAAATATCTAAAACAACTTATGACTTGCTAATTTAAAAAATTTAACACATTTTGAAAATCAATGTTCAAACATTACAATGGTGCTGTGCTTTTTTTTAAAGTCAATAGATAAAAACATAAAATCTTGCACTTACTGGGCTGTGTCTCTAGTAGTACATGGAAAGAAAAAAAAAGAATCATTTTAGAATTTAAAAATCCTATTTTCCAACTCTAATAATTTGTCTATTCCTTTCTGAAGCATACTTGAAACCTATACAATTTAAAACACATACACTGTTTGGGGGGTAGAGGGAAATACTTAGGCTAAATAAGCAAACTGGGCAAAAAAATATACTCACAATATCTTCTTTTCACAAACCATATTAATAATTAAAAACTTAAGATGATTATTCTCTGAGAATGAAATTAATGTGCTCACTGTTTTTTAACAGATATAAAAGAAAGAAGAGCACAAAAGAGTAAATTAAAACCATCAATGAACTCACAACTCAGCGATAGATGCTTAACATTTTGATACATATTTCTCTAGGCTTTTATTTATTTACATATGTATTTTAAATCAGTTATGCTCTTACAGAATAAAAATTTTTAATAGTTGCTCTAGCCGGTTTGGCTCAGTGGATAGAGCGTTGGCCTGCAGACTGAAGGGTCCCGGCTTCAATTCTGGTCAAGGGCATATGCCTACGTTACAGGCTGGATCCCCAGTGTGGGGCGTGCAGGAGGCAGCTGATCAATGATTCTCTCTTATCATTGATGTTTCTATCTCTCTCTCTCCCTCTCCCTTCCTCTCTGAAATCAATAAAAATATATTTTAAAAAATGTTGAGTGGTTTCACACTTTCTACTTCAGATATATATCATAATTTAACCTTGGCATTAATCTTAATGTTCACTAGTAATGGTAGAATAAAACTTCACTTCAGAAATCTGTCTTTTTGTTGGGAAAAAAGGTTCTAAAATTAAATTCTAAAAGTGAATGAGAGAAAAAAACTTTTATCCAAATGAATGCATACAGACTACTTAAAATATATAATTAAATAACAAAATGAAATAGTGAGAACTTTTATTCTATTATCAAGATAAACAGATTAAAATCAATTATGAATAACTACAAATATACTAAAAAAACAACAACACACGCTTCCCCCCCCATAGTTTAACATTTTTAAATTTAGAGTAAGACATCAATGGAAAGATGTATTACATTTTATTCTCCCTCAAAAGCTATTAAGGTATGATATCTTAGAACTGAGAAATTAATTATAACGAAAAATTCTTTTTTTAAAAAAAATTCTTATCTTTCCCTTTTCTTCTATGAAAAGTATAGAAAACAAATGTTACAGTGACAGACAAAAAAATGCAAAGATATCGTTTAATCTTTAAATTCATTTTTACAAAATTCCCTTCCACATAAAGTTCACAAAACATGGACAAAAACTTTAAAATTCGATGAGGAAAAGATTAATACTGCTAGTTCACAAAATTCTGCCTGAGACATACAGCAGTATTTATAAAATAAAACAAATGGCAGAAATAGTGGATTTTCTACATTTTTGCTTCCTCTGTAATACACTTTCAAAAGGAAGTCAAACTAAGCCAAACTCAGTTCATTTGACTGTATAAAAATTATAGACTATATTCCTCAATAAAGCTGAATAAAAAGAAAAAATATATACATTAAGTATTTCCTCATCCAACATGCTTAAATACTGCTAAATGTTTTACTTTTTATTATTCCTAAAATTAACCAAATGCAGGTAGACAAGGAATTAAAAAAGAAAGACTTCTATTTAAGTATAAACTTGCTCATTTTCTTACTTACAGATATTGCTGGAGAGAGCGTTATATTTCCTATAGATACTTTTAATTCATCCAAGGAAGCCATTGTATGATGTGAGTTATTTGGATGCATAGGTTTAATTTCTATCCGATACTTCTTTGGTTCTTCATCTTCAGAATCAGAATCACTAGATGAGTAGAAATGGTTCTCTTTGGTATGTGAGTATCAGTTAAAAAATTTAGTTTTTAAATTGTCTTAATGCAAAACCAGTTGTTTACATATTTAAAAAAGTAACAAAAACCTTTGAGATAAGATAGACTTTAACAGAAATATAACAACTAACTTTTGTTAATAAAAACATGTCAAATGAAGAATATGGAGTCATTTTATAACTAAAAATTTGAAGACTGTTTATTAAATAGATTATTTTGACCGTCTACTTATATGCCATTAAAAATATCCAGATGTTAAAAGGATATCATTCTGATTTGCTTCTGGTTTTATACTATAGCCTTCTTCATCTACATCAGGAATGTTCTATGGAAAGAAAAAGAAAACTCTGTAATGATGGCTCCAACTACAAAAATATTATTAGAGACTAGAGGCCCAGTGCACAAAATTCATGCACAGGTAGGGTCCCTAGAGGCTGCTAGCTGCCGGCCAGGGTGCCTCCCTTGCCCTGGCTGCCTGTCGCCGCCAGCCAGGGGGGGGCCTCCCTTCCCCCTGCCGCCGCAGGCCCCGCGCCCAGGTCAAACTCCCAGTCAAGAGGACAATTTGCATATTAGGCTTTTATTATATAGGATTAGTAAAATAGTCTTAACTATTACTGAGGTGCTATATCATATATCAAATGTCAATAGGTTAACAAAATTCTAATACTCTGGGGAAATTATTCTTTTTAATTAGCTTCAAATCACACTCCATGCTTCAGATGTCTGAAATAGAAAAGCATTGCAAAATGAACAGGAGAAACACTGAAAGGAATCGAACAGGTGTTCAGGTAGAAATGCTAGCAGTTCTGTAGACAACCATTATTCACCCAAATTTTCAAAGTAAGAAAATAAAAGCACAAGACTGTGTCTGGGGAAGGGAAATGATTAAATCAGAGGACTGACAGCTTAAGTTAATGGAAAAATAGAGAACAAAAAAATAGAAAGAAAAGACTATCAAGAAAAGTAAAGCTACATTAAAATACTATTCTCTCATGAGACTGGCAAAAATTCAAAAGCTTGAATTTTGAATTTCAAAACTGTTGGCAAAGCTGTGGGGGAAATGTACTCTTATACTTCACTGTTATAAATACAAAATACTGCAGGTCGTTGAATAAGGTCATTTTGTTTTAACAATGACTAGATGCCATGGGAACTTAACTCTTGTTTATATCAATTAGCCTATGGTGAAATTGATTTAGTTATATAGTTTCACTTAAGGTCGCAGAACCTATCAACAACATGGAGTACTTACTGTATTGCAACCTCTATAAAGAAAAATTTAATAATATCTAACAAAAATACATATGTGCTTAATCTTCCACCCAGGAATTCCACTTCAAGGAATTTTCCCCAAAGATACACCCCCAACTATTTAAAAATACATATGCAACAAAATTATTCATCAAGATTATACCTCAAATATTACTGGAAAGCATAGTTGAATAAACTGTGGTACATACACAAAACAGTACTATACAGCTATTTAAAAAGAGAGCCCTGGCAATGGTTGCTCAGTGGTCAGAGTGTCAGACTGCGCACTGGAGGGCCGCAGGTTAGATTCCAGTCAAGGGCACATATGTGGGTTGCAGGTCCCATCCTTCTCCCCCTCTTCACCCCCACCCCACCCACTCCTGCCCTCAGGTCAATTGATGTTTCTCTCCCCCCACCCACTTCCACTCTCTAAAAATCAATGGAAAAAATATCCTCACACCTTGGGTGAGGATTAAAAAAAAAAAAAGTATGAAAGAATATATAGTATAGTATCTTCTAAGTAAGAAAAAGGAAAAATAAAAAACATGCCTATCAGCTAATCTTTATTTTTTTTAAAAAATCACTGGAAGGATAAATCAAAACACAAAGTTGGTCATCTACAAGGCAGAGCAATGGAGTAGAAGGAATACAGAAGGGAGTGAGTATGCTCTTGTAATTAGGTAAGAGAACATTGCTACTTTCAGAAAAATATATTCACATTCATAAACATGTACATACGTGGGGAGAATGCAAATGTTAAAACAAATTAGTAAAAAGTTAAAGATACACAAGTGTTCTTTGTACTATTTTAGTCTTGCATTGTAAATTAGAAGCGATTTCAAAATAAAAGTTTTTAAAATGGAAAAAAAGAGACTGTCAAGAAATGCCAGGATATCAGATATTATTGGGCAGCCAACATCCTTCTATTGGTAAAGTTTGCCATTCTTTCTCCAATCACTTGCTAAAACCTCAGCAAGAGGAATATAAAGGATTGCTAATCTGAGTCAGGCATAGCACAAGATCAAGGAGAACTAAAAGCAGAATAAACACTCTGATGTAGCCAGTAGTGAGCTAACAGGCTAGATTAAACTCTAGAAGTAAAAAATCTAATATAGGATAAAGAGCAGATTACATAGATAAAAATATGACCAGTGATGTAGTTATGACCCTAAAAATAGAGCACTTTATTTCTACATACTGCTTGCTAATATGCAAATAACAGTTAAAAATACTTTAAAAATAAACGTGGCCAAAAGTAGATTCATTAGAAAACAAAATAAATATTTTTCCCAAAATACTTTATTCCTAATCCCAAGTACCCTAAAAACATACCAGATATTTTAATTTCCCAGAGGTTCTTCTATCTGGGATTTGCAGGTGATTTTTTTTTGAGTTGTACATTTAAAACCTCTATGTTTTGCACCCCAATACATTACAAAAAAACAACAACCTAACACTTTCCTTGTCTGCACCTTGGTCCGTTCAACCGTAATTTCTCTATTAGGGCCCAACAGTGCTTAGGCAAAGCACTAAGTCAAAAGCAGTATGAAGAAGAAAAGAGCAGTTTATTTCCCTCACTAATCTTAAAGGTAGTTTTGGTGGATTGTTGATAGTGGTAATGATTTAAAAATATATATTGGGCCTGGCCGGTGTGCCTCAGTGGTAGAGTGTCAACCCATGAACCAAGAGGTCACCGGTTCAATTCCTGGTCAAGGCACATGCCCGGGGTTGTGGAGTCAATCCTCAATGGGGCATGTAGCATCTCTCATCGATGTTTCTATCTCTCTACTTCTCTCCTTTCCTCTCACTCTAAAAATCAATAAAATTTTTTTAAAAAAAAATACATTTATATATATTTGGATAGAGCTCACAAGTCAATGGAATGTTTCTCAATCTCTGTCTGAAATGGGGGAATTGGACAAAACCAAAATAAAAGCAAGTCACACTTACTTGGTAAACTTTCAAAATACACAGGACCTCAAAATAATTTTTTAAATTATATAGACATTAAACCAAAAAGAAAATAAACAATTTCTCTTCCAAGGTAGCCTACTAATATTTTTACTAATTAGTAAGACTAGCTGTAAATAATAGAAAACAACAAAAAAGAAAGCCTCCTTTCCCTGCTCAGCACCACTGTAACCCTTCTCCCCAAAGATAATCACAATTAAGTTGTCTTGTAACTCATTCTCTTTTATAAAGAGAACACATATACACTAGCCCCCCCCCCCCAAAAAAAACTTAGGGGGTACATCCCAAGACCCCCAGTGGGTGCCTGAAACCATAGATAGTACCAAATACTATGTACACATTTTTTCCTATACATACACAACTATGATAAAGTTTAATTTATATATTAGGCAAAGTAAGAGATTAACAATAATAAGATATAACAATTATAAAAATATACTGCAATAAAAGTTATGTGAATGTGGCATTACTAAGTAAATAAGGATTACTTGAACACAAGCACAGTGATACTATGACAGTCAAACTGATAAACAAGACAGCTACAAACTGATAACAACCAAGACTAAAGGATGAACAGCGTGTACAATGTAGATATGCTGGACAAAGGGATGATTCAAATCTCAAGTGGGAAGGAGCAGGACAGCATGAGATTTCATCACACTACTCCAAATGGCACGCAATTGAAAACTTATCAATTGTTTATTTCTGGATTTTTCCATTATTTTCTGACTGCAACTGACTGCATAACTCAAACCGCAAAAAGCAAAATCATGGATGGGAGGGACTTCCGTACCCACACATTCATATTTTTAAAACAGCAATTACTTAAAAGTTCATACTTGCTTTTATTTATGTAGTAAGCTCTTTCCATGTCAGCAGACACAGAGCAAGGTAACTATAACATGTTACTTCATCAAATGAATGTTTAATAATATATTTAACCAGTTCCATCTTGACAGATGTGTTTGTTTCCACTTTTTTCTAATATAAACAATTATCTCTACCTCTATCTCTCCCCCTCTTTTTTTAAAATGTATTTTTTTTATTAATTTCAGAGAGGAAGGGAGAGGGAAAGAGAGATAGAAACATCAATGATCAAACATCATTAACCGGTTGCCTCTTGCACACCCCCTACTGGGGATCGAGCCCGCAACCCAGGCATGTGCGCCCTTGATTGGAATCGAACCAGGGACCCTTCAATCCCCAGGCTGACACTCTATCCACTGAGCCAAACTGGCTAGGGCACATCCCCCTCTTTTTATGCATATCTTGAGTAATCACATATAAGTTTGTCAACATAGTGATAACAGTAAATTCATAGCAGTAGAATTGCAAGGTCAAAAGAACATGTATTTCTTATTCGGGGAGATACCACCAATGCATTCCTATTTTGGCCAACATGATAGTGAACACAGTAATTTCATTCTAATTTGCATCAGAATGAGGCTACTATTTTGAACATTTCTTATGTTTACTCACCATTTTTATTTCGTCTTATGAAAATTGCCTGTTTTTATTTAATGCCCTTTTTCTACTGGGTGCTTGCCTACCTTTTATATGGATTTGTATAAAAACTTTACAATGGAAAGTAATTAGCCCCTTGTTACATGTCTTGCAAATACATTCTGTCAATTTATCTTTAGTTATTCAAATCCTATGATGTATTTTTTCTAATTTTTTAAGTTTTTTTATTTCTACACAATCAAATTTATCAATCATTTCTTATATTGTGTCCTCTTTAAAAGTCCTTTTCTAATTCCAGGTAAGTACTGACTAAAGTTCAAAACTGGTTCATAGTGATCATTATAGAATAGAATCAATGAGTTAAGAGAATTAAAAATGTTTTAAGGGAATATATATAAAATAAAACATTAAGTACGAAAGGATTTCATGCAATGTTGCAATCATCAAACAAATACTATACATAATTAATTCAGAAATAAAATGTGTGAGTACTAAAAGTAAATGTCAGCCCTAGTCGGTTTGGTCAGTGGATGGAGCGTCAGCCTGCAGACTGAAGGGTCCCAGGTTCGATTCCGGTCAAGGGCATGTGCCTGGGTTGTGGGCTCGATCCCCAGTAGGGGGCGTGCAGGAGGCAGCCAATCAATGATTCTCTCTTATCATTGATGTTTCTGTCTCTCTCTCCCTCTTCCTTCCTCTCTAAAATCAATAAATGTATTTTTAAAAAATAAAAGTAAATGTCAAACATCTGCTGGCTTTTCCATTAATTAATAAACCAAGGTTATCAAAATAGGTAAGTAAGTGGTAAGGTAAATGTTATAACTCTAAAAACACTAATGATTCCTAGAGCTCATTAGGAGTCTATTTCATTATTTTCACTATAAATTTATTAACAAATGATAGTTTTCTTATTTTAAAGTTGAAATATGAAACAAAATACTAATTTTATCTTAATATAAAACACAGTGTTTCACAAAATATCTAGTTATTTATTTTGATATATCATTATGCTGTAACAGATCAAACTGTTTTGGGGCCAAAAGAAATAATAGTTATGCAAGCAAAAACAATAAGCAGAGGAGATAGAAAACTTGGCTCTACCACACTTCACATAACCAGTGTTTAAAGAGCAATTCGAAAAATGTGCTGTTTACATACTACATATACCATTTGGTAAGTCTACTCTTCCACTGTAACCACAGGGAGCTCCATCTGATATCTTCTTTAATTATATATAAAGAAATATGTAAGAAAAACAAATTAAAAAAAAAAAACAAAATAAAAAGCACAGGAAAATACGAACCATGGTTATTTTTTCTAAAATCAATCTCTTAAATAAAACTTAAATACATGAACAGATAAAGTACTATTTTTAAGAGATCTAAGAATAAATTAATAACAGCACCATATTTAAAAATAAAGCAGATTTGAGATCTGACATACTTCCCCCCCAAAAAGCAATATGCTATGCTACTACTCCAATTTTAAAAGTAAAATGACCATTTTTTAAAGGTAATTAGAAACACCTTCAATTTAACAGGAAAGCATCTGGCAATATAAAACCAAATATGCATCTGTAAAATAATTTTAATAGTGGATTTACAATAACATGATTATTTTTCTTGAAAAGATTTGTAAACAACTCAACCCAAATATGCTGGGTATTTCCTAATTTAAAAAAAAGCTCATTTAAATTGTTTATATCAAAGTAAAAATCTACTTACAAGTGAATCTGCATCAGGGCATTCCCTATTAAAACAAACAAAGTATTAGAAACATTAAGCTATCAGAACTATCTGAAAATAATGCAATATTAAAAGTGTCTACCTTGGTATTTAAGCATAACTTTTATTTAAACGCTACAAAAATACTTAGAGAAATTATTTCATGAAGATTTTTTAAAATGATTTTTAAAAATGATTTTTAAATTCAAAAGAAGGCATTTCTGTACCCATAATCCATGACAAAATAAAACAACACAAGTGTTTTTAAAACTACTTTAAAAAGTACTTCTTTTCCTTGAACATACACATGAATTATATCAAGGAAGCTATCAGTCCTACAAAGATTTCTAGTGGTATTTAATTCTTCAGGGAGAGAAAATGCAAAAAAATAAGGGGGGGGGGAGGAGGAGGAGGAGGAGGAGGAGGAGGAGGAAGGGAGGGAGGGAGGGAGGGAAGGGAGGAGGAGGGGAGGGGGGAAGGGAGGAGGAGAGAGAGAAGAAGAAGAGGAGGAAGGAGGAAGAGGAGGAGGAGGAAGGAGGAGGAGGAGGAGAGGAGGAGGAGGAGGAGAAGAAGAAGAAGAAGGGAGGGAGGGAGGGAAGGGAGGAGGAGGGGAGGGGAAGGGAGGAGGAAGGGAGGGAGGGAGGGAGGAGGAGGGGAGGGAAGGAAGGGAGGAGGAGGGAGAGAAGAAGAAGAGGAGGAAGGAGGAGGAAGGAGAAGAGGAGGAAGGAGGAGGAGGAGGAAGGAGGAAGGAGGAGGAGAGAGGAGGGAAGAAGAAAAATGGTAAAAAAACATTTTAAAATAAAATTTTAAAACTTTTTTTTAAAGTCTATACTTTCAAAACTGACATTTCCAAGTGCAGTACTTTCTATAAGTTAGTCTATATAAAAGGTTTCAAAATGACTTTTCTCCAAATTTGTTAAGTGAGTGGTTAGACTTCATTAACTTTCTAGTCTAGTGATGGCGAACCTATGACACGCGTGTCAGAGGTGACACGTGAACTCATTTTTTTGGTTGATTTTTCTTTGTTAAATGGCACTTAAATATATAAAATAAATATCAAAAATATAAGTCTTTGCCCTAACCAGTTTGGCTCAGTAGATAGAGCGTCGGCCTGCGGACTGAAGGGTCCCAGGTTCAATTCTGGTCAACGGCATGTACCTTGGTTGCGGGCACATACCCAGTAGGGGGTGTTCAGGAGGCAGCTGATCGATGTTTCTAAGTCTCTATCCCTCTCCCTTCCTCTCTGTAAAAAAATCAATAAAATATATATAAAAAATATATGTCTTTGTTTTACTATGATTGCAAATATCAAAAAATTTCTATATGTGACATGGCACCAGAGTTAAGTTAGGGTTTTTCAAAATGCTGACACGCCGAGCTCAAAAGGTTCGCCATCACTGTTCTAGTCTAACGTAATATGTAGTTCAGAACTGGTATTTTATGATTTAACTGATAAACAAATATGACTTTGGATATAAATAAGCAAAAACTATTACTTTAAATATAAAACTAACCATAAAAACCAACCTTCTCAATTAACCTATAATGTAAAATTAAAGACACTGAAGCCATGAGGAATAAGATTAGAAAAAGTTCTATGCATGCATTCTTTAAAAATTCATAAATAAAAATTAGAGTGCATATTTAAAGGGCATTTGGATTAGTTACATATTCTTGGGTTTGAGACAGATAATGCACATAACATCAAGATGTGCCACTTTAACAGACTGAAAATATAGGCATTAAGTACACCTTAAGAGCCAAATGAACAATAAAAAGCACTAAATTAACATATAGGATAAGCAATCTCTATCTAACCAAAGACTAAGCACAATCAGAAAAATCTACAAATTAAAAATTTTTGTTACAGGAAGATATAATGGAATATACTGAATAAATGAAAACAGTGTGGAATGACTACACAGCTCTTAATCCAAACTGAAGCACCAAAGGGACAGGGTAAATACAAATCTCATGTCTTTATATCCACTTAAAATTGCAAATTTTTAAAAAGAGCTTCCTTATTATTGGTAAATGAGGAAACCTAAGTATACTCTGAGGAAATGTTCCACCAGAAAAGGCACTGTAATAATAAATTCAATCTCTACAGAATCAAATCAATTAAGATGTTAGAACATTTCTACTTTCTACCTTTTTTAAAAAGTACAGTTTAAATATAAAAGCAAGGGTACAACTTCCAGTTTGTTCTCTGGCTTTAAGCAGAACTCTGTGGTGTTTATGTCACAACACTCATTTGCTTGCCTTCACAGCGGGCTCTATGTGACCTGCAGATGAAGCCCCAGGAAGAGCATACTCTAAGCAGGACCCTCTTCCACAACTGCTGGCATTTCAAAAGCCTGAGCCTATGAGAATAATTTTGCCAAGAACCTTGGGTATTTTAAGCAAAGTGAATTCTAACATTTTTTCTGCCAGGAAGTGTTGAAAGAAGGCAATCATGGTACAATGGTTTAAGGATAATTTTCTGCTCTAGCATTCTCATTGGTAAAAATATTACAATATCCAAATGGCCTAGTGGTCATACTGAGAAATTACTCATCATGAAAAATTATTTAAAAACATAGATATAGCCCTGGCTGGTTTTGCTCAGTGGTTAAAGCGTTGGCCTGCGCACCAAAGGGTGGTGGGTTCTCTTCCCAGTTAAAGGCATGTTAACTCGATCTCAGGCTTGATCCCGGGCCCAGTAGGTACATGATCAGGAGACAACCAATCTATGTGTGTCTCTCTCACATAGATATTTCTCTCCCTCACTCCTCTCTCTCCCCCTACCTCCCTTCCACTTTACCTAAAAACAATGGAAAAATTTCCTTGGCCCAGGTTTCACCCTAACCGGTTTCGCTCAGTGGATAGAGCGTCAGCCTGCGGACTCAAGGGTCCCAGGTTCGATTCTGGTCAAGGGCATGTACCTTGGTTGTGGGCACATCCCCAGTAGGGAGTGTGCAGGAGGCAGCTGATTGATGTTTCTCTCTCATCGATGTTTCTAACTCTCTATCCCTCTCCCTTTCTCTCTGTAAAAAAATCAATAAAATATATTTAAAAAAAAAGAAAGAAAGAAAGAAAGAAAAACACACAAAATGAGAAAAGGGAAATTTTCTCAGGTGAGTATTAAAAACGAATAATCCTATATAATAAGAGAGGGATATGCTAATTAGCCTAGATATGCTAATTAGTCATGACTGGGTATGCTAGTCATGATCAGATATGCTAATTAGTCACCACCAGATATGCTAACTAGTCATGACCAGTATGCAAACTGACCCTCCAACACAAGAGAGGGATATGCTAATTAGCCTTGATATGCTAATTAGTCACAACCAGTATGCAAATTGACCAGCACTCCAATACACAAGATGGCTGCCCCCATGTGGTCAAAGATGGCCGTCCCCCATGTGGCCATAAGATGGCCACCACAAGATGGCCAGCAGGGAAGGGTAGTTGGGGGGACCAGACCTGCAGGGGAGGGCAGTTGGGGGCGACTGGGCAGGCAGGGGAGGGCAGTTAGGGGCAACCAGGCCTGCAGGGAAGGGCAGTTGGGGGCACTGGGCCAGCATGGGAGGGCAGTTGGGGGCGACCGAGCCTGCAGGGGAGGGCAGTTAGGGGCAACTGGGCTGGAAGGGGAGGGCAGTTAGGGGCAACCAGGCCTGCAGGGGAGGGCAGTTGGGGGCAACCAGGCCTGCAGGGGAGGGCAGTTGGGGGTGACTGGGCCGGCAGGGGAAGGCAGTTAGGGGTGACCGGGCCGGCAGGGGAACAGTTAGGTGTTGACCAGGCTGGCAGGGGAGCAGTTAGGGGGGTGATCAGGCTGGAAGGGGAGCAGTTAGGGGGTGATCAGGCTGGCAGGCAGAAGCAGTTAGGGTCAATCAGGTAGGCAGGCAGGCAAACGGTTGGGAGCCAGCAGTCCCGGATTGTGAGAGGGCCTAAATGGGCAGTCAGACATCCCTTGAGGGATCCCAGATTGGAGAGGGCACAGGCTGGGCTGAGGGACAACCACCCCCCACCCCCCGCAGTGCACAAATTTTGTACACCGGGCCTCTAGTAATTAAAAATAAATATATAAAAACAAATATTGTAAGCTCCCTGAATGAACTGCTGTGAAAAGCATACATTATAAAAATATTTAATTTATGGCCATTATTTTTGTTTGTTACTCCTTGGCCCTTGACCAGAATGGAACTCGCAACACTTCAGACCAATCACTGAGTCAAACCAGCCAGGGCTATGGCCATTACTTTTTATAATATAGTCACTAACAGATGAACTGGCTGCATTAAAAATTTACTTACAAATCAATTGTTTAGACTTCAAAATGTATTTCCAATGTTATAAAAAGAGATTAGATTCCATCCCCTTAGCAAAATACCCCTTTCATAAATGCTCAAAATAGACATTTGCAGGAGAGATGACAAATGTCATCTACAGATATAAATCACTTTGTAATTGTCTTAATCTGTCAACCAAATACCACTTAGAAGAGAGGATGAAACACATTTAGAATGGCCAGAAATTCTGAAAAACTCAGATGATAAGAATATAATTAGGTAGTAGGCAAAAACACCCAAAGCACAAAACTCTTGTACTGCAAATATGAGTGCCCATCAAAATATTAAATCTTGTGTGAGTTCTGATTATGCTAGAGAAGTAAGAATTTTAAACAAATTTTCAGCCAATGTCACTGAGTCAACAAAACACTTAAGACTTTTAATTAGAGTCTTTCAATCTGGGTTGAGTAATTACAGAAAGAAGGATTTCTCCAGTTCCACTTTGTCTCTGGCTAATCAAAACTCATTGATTCTCAACCTCAGGTGTATATAAGCAATTACATAGGCTGCTTAAAACAAAACAAAACAAAACAAAACAAAACAAAGACTATGCTGGGGCCTCCTGACCATGAATCTGGTTAAATTGGTCTGAGATGGGGTCAGGCATAGATTATTTAAATTTCCCAGTTAGTTCAAATGTGCAGTCAAGGTAGAAACTTCACTTAGCTAATACTAGTTGAAATTCTTTTTTTTTTTAATCCTCACCTAAGGATATACTTTTATATTGATTTTAGAGAGAGGAAGGGAGAGAAGGAGGGACGGAGGGAGGGAAGGGGGAGGGGGAGGAAGAGAAGGAGGAGGGAAGAGAGAGAGAGAGAGAGAGAGAGAGAGAGAGAGAGAGAGAGAGAGAAACATCAATCGGTTGCCTCCTATACACATCCAGACCAGGGATCATACCTACAACCTGGTTATGTGCCCTGACCAGGAATTGAACCCACAACTCTTTGGTGCATGGGATGATGGTCCAACCAACTGAGCCACACTGGCCAGGACCTAGATGAATTTCTTACATGCTAAATTATATATTCTTTGCATACTAATTTCTTATTTTTAAGAAAGGTAACTTGAATTTATACTCCATCTCGATCTAAAAATGATGACTGGTCTAAATGTTTGAAACATGTTAGCGTTTCTTTCTCCAACATTTAACATTTTCCATTTATGCATACAGATGATCCCCACATACAATGGTTCGACTTAATGATAGACTGAGGGCAGAGATGCTATTTGATTCACGAATTTTAAACAAATTTTATGTCCTGATAAACCCGCTGTAAGATGAAAATGCTTTTAAATGCAACAGCCGACCAAACATCATAGTCTACTTCGCCTAGCCTACTTTCAATGTGCTCAGAATATTTACATTAGCTTAGAGCTGTGCAACTGTCTTGAGTTTCATCTCAAGAATATTTGCCTTCCTCTTTTCACCAGAAACAGGAGACACAGATGGGAGTTTTACAGATATGATGGGACGCAAAAACATTGTACACTGTAGAGTATCAATTGTTTAACCTCATAATCATGGGGGCTGCCACTGCCCAACACCACAAGAGAGAATCGTACTACACATCCCCAGCTGAGGAAAGGATCAAAATTCAAAATTAGAAGTACAATTTCTACTGAATGCATATTGCTTTCACATCATTGTAAAATTGAAAAATCATTAAGTTAAACCACTGTTAAGTCAGGGTCCATCTGTGCTGTGTTGCTGTGTTTTTCAGATACTGTGTTCTGAGCATGTTTAAGGTAGCATCTTTAAGGCTAAGCTATGATGTTTGATAGGAGTATTACAAGCATTTTCAACTAATGATATTTTTAGTTATGACAGATTTATCAGGGTATAACCCCATTGTAAGTCAAGTAGCACCTGTACATAATTGCTATGTCCCTCACATGCTTAGAATTGTCTAGAAGGATTTTCATCAATTTGTTGACTATAGGTTTTTCTTGCACATCAAGACTTAGAAGATTTCATAGTTTGCTCTGCATTTTTAATTTTTTAAAAATATGCATTTAAAATATATTTTAAAAAAATAACTAAAAATGCACTTAATTTTATAATATACGAGTAGTTTTAAAGTTTCAATTATAAGACACTAAAGTTTTCATCTTAAATTTTAAAATAAGAAAAGTGAATACTTTTAAGTAAAACCAGAGGAGCTGGCAAATACATTTAGAAGTTAGTATTTTTCACCCGTCAGTGGTTCTCAACCTTCCTAATGCCGCGACCCTTTAATACAGTTCCTCATGTTGTGGTGACCCCCAACCATAAAATTGTTTTCATTGCTATTTCATAACTGTAATTTTGCTACTGTTATGAATCGTAATGTAAATATCTGATACGCAGGATGTATTTTCATTGTTCGTGACCCGCAGGTTGAGAGCCGCTGCTTAGCCATATATAATTTGAGCTATTTACAAGAGAATTACTTTTCAAATTCAAAAAATGTCTTAATTATTTCTAATAAAAGAAAGTATTCTGACAATATTTATTATACTTACACAGACTCTGCATCCTTTTCCTTTTTAATTATTCCTGGCAAGCCAAAAGTCTTTCTTTTCCTTGGTTTTATACCTTAAAATAAATGTGTATTAAAAAATGTGTACTGTTACAGAAACATTAACTGTTCCTGATATATTAAATTTATGAATGCATCTTGTATCTAGACACATAATTTGCTCATAACTGCCGATACTAAATTTGGATGATAGAAATGAATATATCTATTGCTAAACCCTAATACTGAAATCAGTTATATTCTCTTTAGACTTATATTAACATAACATAGCCTATTATTCACCAAAAGGTTTTAGAAGATTCACTTGATCAATGAAATTCTCTTTTCTTCTCTAAGTATTCCCCAATTCAGTACATTATTTGCTATATTAGATTTTATTATAAATATAAGGAAACAGAAGGTCACAAAATATAAATGTGTTATTTTAAGTAAAAGGATGACTCAACATATCCATTAATAGTATAACATGGAAAGCTTATAATATGGCATCCATATGTTATCTCTAATATAAACAATATTATGAGTGGACCTTACCATAAATGAGAAACAAATATTTTTGTTTGGACTAATCTGGCAGTTCTTCCTCCTCTTCTTACATGAAAAATTAATTTTTAAAGGTCAGTCGTGCTATTAAATTGTTGATGGAGTTCAGCACTTAAAGCTCAGCTGCTTCCTCTTTGAGAACTTGAGCACACCTAAGCTAACTTCTCATCTTATAGGTGAAGAAACTCCAGGGTATTATTTGTTCTTGTTTTTTTAAGTCAGTGTTATATGACTAAGTAAACACTATAACCAGGATTCGAATTCAGGTGTCTTAGAATAATGTACTTGCATTCAAGCAAAACAAACTCCCTCCAGAGGTCGGCAAACTGCGGCTTGCGAGCCACATGCGGTTCTTTGGCCCCTTGAGTGTGGCTCGTCCACAAAATACCAGCTCTTCCACAAAATACGGACTTCTGCGCAAGGGCCACGAAGTTTCTATCGCACTGTACGTGCGCACCCACATGTGGTATTTTGTGGAAGAGCCACACTCAAGGGGCCAAAGAGTCGCATGGGGCTCGCGAGCCACAGTTTGCCGACCACAGCATACCTTTATCATGTTATATTTTTTAAACCAACTACAGTTTTATTCTCACAGAGTAATATTTACTACCTACATTTTACAATAAAGAAAGCTGAAGCACAGAGAATTTAAATCATTCCTGCTCACAAACAGCTAGTAACCATATGAAGTCTAGGCCCCAGAGCTCCTGACTGCTTCAATAGTAAACTTACACATGACAGCAAACCACTTCTCCAAATTCTTACACAGGACTTAGAAAAAATAGAAGTTTGCTGACAAAGTAAGATTTCTAAAACATGATAAGAATAGCAGGCATCTCTTGGGTTTCATAACATGAAAAAGATCCATTTAAATAGAGTATATGTAGACTCTCAAGTCAAATCATTACTCACTTTGAATGATACTAATATTAACATTAATGCATAACCTCATTAATTATTGAAATATTACCTACTATAGAACAAGCGCTATACATAAGTTTCATATTTATGACAACAGAATGTTTAAAAATGGGTGTCAATAGAGAAAACAATCTCAATGTATATTTGAAGAAAATGCATGTTATATTTAATCTTTTAAAATATATATTCTAGTCACTAATCATCTTTTTGACTAACCTGTTTATTTATTAAGTAAAAATTAGTTTCTGCAAGCCTTCAAACCACATTAAGATTTTTTACATCATTCCATAAACAAGCTCTAGCAATGGATAGCAGCCCCTCTTTATTTGTTCAATAAACGGAAGATATTAGCTAGTTATCACACATTACAACTAGTCAACTTACCTTCAACTGCACTAGCAGGGTCACATTCTTCAAATTCAATAAGGCCTAAAAAATATATGTATATGCATATATATAAACAACTGCTAGAAAAAGCTAGTAGAAAACAATCAGATCAAATCCCATTACAATAAAAGTTGGCCCTTAAACAACATGGGTTTAAACGATGCAGGGACACTTATATGCAGATTTTTTTAAATAAATACCTGTATTGTTTTTGATCCACAGGAGTTCGCAGATGCTGAGGGCCGGCTGCATACACTGATCTACGCCATTTTATATAGGGGGCTTGAGCATCTGTGGATTTTGGTATTTGTGGGGGTCGGGGAACCAATCCGCCCATGGATACCAAGAGACCACTTAAGTTTTTGGGTAGTCAAGTTATATACAGATCTGCGGCTGCATGAAGGTCAGCACCCATAACCCCCCACATTGTTCAAGGGCCAACTGTATCTTTTTAAATGTTCTGAAATGTGTGTTCCAGTGTTATCTGTGTTAATATCAGTAATGATTTTAAAAATCAAGTAATCTTAACAGTGAAAATAGTTGACTAGTTTATTATGATGATGACAATTTACTGAAAGCCCTTTATATATGATCTCACAGAACTGGAGACACAGAGACCTAACATGCAGTTTCTGCTTTTAAGGAGCTTGCAGTGTAGTTGAGAGAAAACATAGTAAGAGGGAGTTGCTGAATCCTCGGTTGTGTTCATGGGAAGGACAGGAGGCCAAGATAGTAAATAAAATACTACTAGAATGTAAGCTTGGGACCTTGTCTGTCTCATGCACCACTGTAAAAGGCAAATAAAAGGTTTTCTATATTTACTGAACAAATTAATTAATTATATACTAGCTAAGTGGTAATGCTTGGAATTACAACCCAGATCTAACTCAGCTATTTCCAACTGGTGTGCTATATGTAAGAGGCACACTGGTGTGCCACAGGAATTTTTTTTAAATGCAAAACCTGACCTCTTTTCCCTCAGATTATTCAATTAAAACAATAGAATGTGACCCTGCTAGTGCAGTCTGGTGTGAATTAATCAGTTATACCTATTTTTTGTCAGATCAGCAAAAATATATCTTTGTTGTGTCACAGAATGTTAGTAGTTTATGTACCATGAGATGAAAGAGGTTCAAAATCATTACTTTAGCTGCATAGCAGGTTAAGGAATTTAAACTGCAATTTGCAAGCAATGGGAAGAGTTTTCATGTAAGAAGACACACACACACACAAACACACACACACAAACATACACACACACACCCCTGCAAAGAGGTTTATAGAAAAATTAATTTAGTAGTTGCATGAGTGATAGATTGTAGAAAAGGAGATGATAAAATAGAAATCAGAAAACAACTAAAATAGCCCTGAAATGACAGGCCTGCTGAGACTAGCCTTAAATGCCATAGAATATGGTGTATTTCATGTATGTAAAAATACCAAATTATTTTAGTAGAGAAAGTAGCAAAAGCATGAATTACTCTTCTATCGAACTATCCCCAAAGCTAAATATCAGACTAAAAAATTATCTTCCATTAAATTATCATTTTAGCCCTGTTTTACAATACATACATTTATACAAGTCCAGCATTGTTGTGAAATAATTTTTAATTCATGAATGGTAATTGATTCCGTTATAACAATTACCTGTTCTAACAATATATTTAAAAATAGAGTTTGAAGATTAGATAATAGAGGATTTCACTACTATTTCTTCTGAGACATTAAGCTTAACTGTGTGCAAATTCATGATCAGAGTTCTCATTGATCATTCCATTATGAAAGAAACATTGCTCTACAACTAGGAGCATCTAAAAATATTGGCTAAAATGTCTCCCAACCTAAGGTTTACTTCTTCAGTTCATCTCTATACAAATAGAGCAGATTAACATTTAGTGATAAGCAGAATAAAAGTCATAAAAGTGAGCTGGTAAACAAGGTCCTAATGAATTAATTAGCAATACCTTCCTTACTAGCGTATCTTATGATATAAACTTAAGTCAAAGAAAATGGCCCAGTTAAAAATTTAAGAATTAAAAATCCATGCCAAACCGGTTTGGCTCAGTGGATAGAGTGTCGGCCTGCGGACTGGGGGGGGTCCCGGGTTCGATTCCGGTCGGGGGCATGTGCCTTGGTTGCGGGCACATCCCCAGTGGGGGGTGTGCAGGAGGCAGCTGATCGATGTTTCTCTCTCATCAATGTTTCTAACTCTCTATTCCTCTCCCTTCCTCTCTGTAAAAAATCAATAAAATATATTTTAAAAAAAAAAATTCACTCTATGTAAAGCTAAGATTTCTTTAAATGAAAGGGTAATGAGCTTGTTCTTAGATTCCTTTCAAGGCCTATGTTAATGATCGATAAAGAGATAAGAACTGGAAGATCAATAAATGTAAAGAATTTTGGTGTGTGTATCTGATAATTAGCAACTTTGTACTTGGTGTAAATGTTATAAAGAATGAGAAATCTGCCCAGCTGGAGTAGTTCAGTTGGTTGGAGCATTTTTTCCATGCACCTGAAGGTTGCCAGTTTGATTCCTGGTCATGGCACCTATGTATAGAAGGAAACTGGTAGATGTATCTCTCTCACATTAATGTTTCCTTCCCCCACGCTAACCCCCCCCTCCCCCGCCCCCCAAGCATGTCCTCCGGTAAGGATTAAAAAAAAAAAAAAAAAAGCCTGGCCAGGATGGCTCACTGGTTGAGCACTGAGGTCGGGTTTGATTCCCAGTCAGGGCACATGCCCCAGTTGTGGGCTCGATCCCAGTGTGGGGCGTTCAGGAGGCAGCAGATCAATGATTCTCTCTCATCATTGATGTTTCTTTCTCTCTCCCTCTTCTTTCCTCTCTGAAATCAGTAAAAATATATTAAAAAAATAAAAACAAAAAAACTCTCCTAAATTACCAACAGCTATATTATATATTATGAGCTTTATCACTCACTAATAAAACTTGAGAGAATATAACCACCTGTCAAATAAATCTGAGTTTACAAAAAAAGAACCAGAAATGTGGTTCCTCAAAAATTCTCCTACACAGTAACACAGCATATAATTTGTGCCCAATAACCATTTATAGAATTTCTAATACTTAGGCTACTGGCTTACACTAGAGAAAAACAAAACATAAATGCCAAACAAATTGCATTATTTTCAAGTATGTAAAAATATGTCTAAAAAGACTTTTACAATATTACCTTAGCAAATACAGTATACTAGAGGTCCGGTGCACGAATTTGTGCACCAGTGGGATCCCTCGACCTGGCCTGCAGGATCAGGCCAAAACTGGCTCTTTGACATCCCCTGAGGGGTCTCGGATTGTAGGAGGGCAAAGGCCAGGCTGATGGACCTCACCGGTGCACGATCGGGGCTGGGGAGGGACCATGGGAGGGCTCCAGGACATGTCTGGCCCATCTCCCTCTGTCCCGATAGGCCGGACCCCAGCAGCATGCTAACGTACAGGTCGGAGCATCTGCCCCCTGGTGGTCAGTGCATGTCATAGAGATTGGTCGACTGGTCTGTCTGCTCCCTGGTGGTCAGCGCACATCATAGCAAGCGGTTGAGAGCCAAAGCATATCATTAGCATATTATGCTTTGATTGGTTGAACGGACGACTGGACACTTAGCATATTAGGCTTTTATTATATAGGATGTTCTTTTAAGATTTTCATGAAAAACAGTATGGAGTTTCCTCAGAAAATTAAATATGGAACTGCCATTTGATCCAGTAAATCACCTGGGAATATAGCCTAAGAAATCCAAAACACCAATCAGAAAGAATGTATGCACCCCTATGTTCATAGCAGTGCAATTTAACAATAGCTAAGATCTGGAAACAGCCCAAGTGCCCATCAGTAGATGAGTGGATAAAAAGGCTGTAGTACACATTTATACCATGGAATACTACACAGCAGTAAAAAAGAAGGATCTCTTACCCTTTGAGACAGCATGGAGGGACCTGGAGAGTATTATGCTAAATGAAATAAGCCAGTCAGAGAAAGACAAGTATCAAATGATCTCACTCATATATGGAATCTAATGAACAAAGTAGATCCAGAGACATAGAAGCATGGAACAGACTGTCGAATCTCAGGGAAGGCAGAAAAAGATGGGTGGATGGAAAGAGATTAACCAAAGAATTTGTATGCATACATGCATAACCCATGGACACAGATATAGGGGAGTGAAGGGGTTGGTGAAGGCCTGGGGTGGGAAGTAGGGATTGGCTAGAAGAGGTCAATGGGAGAAAAAAGTGAACCTATGTAATATTTTCAACAATAAAGATTTTAAAAAAAGATTTTCGGATAGCTTTATATTTGTGAAAATAGTAAAAACATGCCTTAACTCTATAAAAATTAATCCCTTTAAACAAAATTCTATATATTTTTTCACAAAATCTTTTCCTATACCAGATATATCTTGATGGCTCGTCTCTTTATCTTTTCTAAACATTCCTTAAAATTCATTTGAAATATGAAAATGTCCAATAAATCATTCAAAATGACATTTTTAAAATATAAGATGTCAAATCCTCTCAAATTGTAAAATACGTATTAAAAATTTTAAGCTGAGTACCATGTATACATAAGCTTTTCTATAAAAGATCAGAATACTAACACAGTTTGTGGTCTAATAAAACTAAATATACCCTTCTTTAAAAAACACATTAAATCATGCATGAAAAAGATTTTCTTTTCAAATTGCGTATGCTCCACATGCTGTTTCACATGGCAAAGCTTTGCATGCCTGGCTCAAGTGCCAGTTGACACCTCAGCTGGATATCAATGCACACGCTCTGACCCCCCTTGCAGCTTGTCACTTCTTAACTGTTTCAGAAGTAGAAGGTTTATTCAGCACCTCCCTCAAATGCTGTCCACTGCCCATCATCCCGCTATTTAATCATAAACAAGTTACTCTTCTTGACAGTACCACAGCCAGACTGAGAGCCAGAAAGAATAGTTTGCTACAACTGGAATTTCAACTTTTAGGCTCAATTAATTCTGTTGTCAAAATAAGTAACTTCTCTTAGCACCTAGATTTTATGCTAG